GACGTGCGGGCGAGGAACAGCCAGAAGAAGAGGAGTATGGGCTTCGGCGTGTTGCCGACGTCAGCTGACGCCGAGGAGGCCCGGGTCCGGCAAGCTGTCGCGTAAGGCCGTCTACCACCCAGCTAGTCCCGGCCTCCTTCTTTTCCCCTTTCCTCTTCGACTTGGAGGAGTGTTTTATTTTAATGACTGGTATCCCGGAGAGGAAAGCTTTTAGCCTATGCTCGTTTTCGGGAGTGATTTGGGTTCATTGTACGATTTCTGCTGCGCGATGGGTCGAGGAGGATCCATCGCGCATTATAGAATGAATGGGATCTGGAGTCGGACTGTATCATTACTTGCGAGGTAGCTTCTCGGGAGGTTTTAACCCTGAAGGCTATTAACGGCTACTCTTAGAGATTAGTCTTCATAAATATAAGAAAGCCTTTTTCTTTGTTTCAACTATCGAACATCCTGACCCAAAGGCGCGGCTTCTTCGCTCGCCGAGGTGTCATGATTGCAGATGTATATGTCATTATGATAAGATGCTGCTTCCAGTGTAGCGGGAAACACCTAATGTTGATTCCGATTCCAGTTGCTATAATGTACAGTTCTTAGCTCCATCGACGTGCCCAAATCTAGCCGGGAAGGCTTTTCAGGCCTTAGGCCTCGGTGGAAAGCTGCACCCCCTCGGCGGCAAGAGCCCGCTTGTAGTCCGCTTGAGCCCTCTTAAGCGCCTCCAGCGTAGGCTGCATAATGGCCAGCACAGCCTTGCGCCCGCCCTTCTCGTGCTCCGGCCGCCAGCCCCTAATCTTCTTGCCCGTTGCCTTGTAGTGATCCATAATCTCCTTCTTCTTGGCACGGATGATGTCGTCGCGGGCCCGCTCGGCCTCCTCGGCAACGGCATTGATACGCTCCGCCGACCGGCCCAGCGACTCGACGAGATATTGCAGCTCGTTTGCGCGGTCCGGGTCGCCCGAGAGGAACGCGTTCCAGAACTGGTGCAGGAACTCAACCGTCGTCGCGTGCGTCAGCGAGCAACGCTCGGCGATCTCGGCGGGGAGGCCCATCGGGCGGGACTCGTCTGTCGTCATGTCGCCATACTTCTCGGCGCGCCGCTGGCGGATGCCCGTCATGATGTCGTCGCCTGCGGCCTTGCGCGCGGCGCGAGAGCCGACGTGAAGTGGCCGCTGACCCTCCTCCTCGCTGTCGCTGTCGTCGATGATACCTATGCCAGCACGGAGGTTAAGGCCGCCCGCGCCGTCCGTCTCGATTGTCTCGAGATCGGTTTGGATGTCGAAGAGGACGTCCGAGGGATTCTGCTTCGCAAAGGCAAGCGAGTTAGCGGACTTGGCCTGATCCTTCTTGGCGAAGAATCGATTCTGTTCCTTGATGTTCAGAATGATCTTGTTCTCCTTGGCGTCGCCTCGAAGATCACGGAGGGCGAGCTCCTGCCACGTCAAGTCCTCACCATCGGGACCGGCCTCGCGATCTGAAGGCGCCACGTTGGAAAGCATCCTCTCGCTGAGACTGTTGAGGGTGCTAACGATGGGCACGTTCTTGCGAGGTCGCATCTCAATATCCTTTTGGTTTCCGCTCCTGAAGCCGCCCTGGTTCTCTTCGTTGGCGTAGACGTCGATAATATGCGGCACGCTCTGCGCCATGCTCTTCCTCTGGAACATGGCTGTATTCTCGCTGGCATCGTGGGCGTCGAAGAGCGCATCTCGCTTGATGCCTTCCTTCCTCTCGTCGGTGATCCTGTCGCCTTTGAGGGTGCGGAACAGCTTGCTTAGGAAGAAGCGAGACCAGAACTCGCTCTCGGGGATCTTTGGCACATTCTCATCGTACAGTCTCTTGACCAGTGGGTGCTGCGCCATAATGAGCTGGACCATCTCGACGGTGATGTCAAGCTTGAGCACGTCATTCTCCAGCCGTGGCTTTATCGAGGGCAGGACGTTGTAGGCGCCCTTTTGCTGATTCACCTCGATGGCGTGGGCGCGCAGCAGGTTTGTGCGGGTCGACCAGAACTGCGCGTTGAAAGCGGCGTCTGATATCGACTCGGGCTTCGTCGCGCGCGCGTCCATGTAAGTCTGGTGAAGCGTGCGGTCCTTCTTCATAAGGGACTGCTGCAACTCAATATCGCCCTTGAGCTGAGCATCGTCAAACCAACGAGCATTGCTTGGCTTTGAGTTTACGGAGCTGGCAAATGTCATAGAACCCGAGCCTGACCCGCCAGCACCACTGGCACCATTCGCACCGTTCGCCGTTGGGTTCGGGGTTCCGCTACCTGATGGCCTGGGGACACTGGGATCGGCGGAGCGAACGTCGGCCAGCAGCCTCGAGAGCAAGTCCTTGATGGCGTTGGCCTCGGATCTAGCGTCCGACGAAGTGAAGTGGAAGAGATAGGGTATCTGCTCCGTGGCTTCGGGCGGCTTCTCAAAAATCTTCAGCATAACCTTGGCCGCGCTGTCTGGTGTCTGCTGCAGGTCTGTATCTCATATCAGTCCTGGAGCCTCCGGCTACGCGAATCTTCGGCCCGGCGGCAACTTACTCGTGATGTTGCTGAGGGCCAGTGAAACCGTAGGTGGGCCATCGCCAGGCGCTGGAGTCCAGATTACGAACTGTCGATTTGGTGTCAAGGTCAAGAAGCCATCCTTCTTCTTGAACGCCGCGCGACCGGACGGCAACGCCATTCTGCTCTGGTTGATTCAGGCTATGAAGCACTGTGAAGCATTACGGTGGAGAGTCCTCGTCACCACTATTCACGCTCTGAGTGTTTACTTGTCCGGCCCAGGGATGAGAGACCCAATACGTCAGGCACGGCCGCACTGGCCAACGCAAAACCGTCGAACCTGCCTCAGGGATTATGGAACAGATAGGGTTTTATTTTTCCAGAAGTAGGGATCGCGTGGTGACGTGGAATGGGAATCGATCAATGTCTTTCACTCGGATTTGAAGGCTCGAAGTTCAAAGCCTCAGCCACCAGAGCACATGCTGCCTGAAGTGGCGCGCTCGTGCCACTTGGCCAGGTGTCAGCAAGCCAGGACAACCGACAATGACAGTGGCAGCGCCAGCGGCAGGGATGTCCACTTAGAGTTAAGGCGAGCATCAATTTACTGTCCACTCAAAACCAACATCATCTGGCCCGAGTGAGTGGATGCAGCGCCGCAAGAGTCACCATAGCCACATGACGCGCACAACGGCCATACATTTACAACGATTGCAGAGTTGCGTGGTGCTATTTCTTTTAGAGACACGATTACCTGTCCCACCGTTCCGCAATGCAAGCCAGAAGCCAGGAACCAGTCCCGGAAGATCCATTGCCATCCTCCTAACGCCGAAATCTCAGAAAACCAGACCCTGTGTCGTGTCTATGGATGCGTGCGCCCGCGTATCTCGTCCAAGCCTCATAAAAATGTCGTGACCCCCTCGACAATACATTCAAAGGGCGATGAGGTTATTGCACATATTTTTGGGGCTTAGATGTGGTGTCTGAAGCGGATCGATCGGCGACCGTGAGCTCTCTTCTTCTGCCAAACCAAAACTTCGGTTGTGCCAGACTGGCACTTGGTGCCAGGAGCCATACTCATGAGGACCGACCATTGGCCAGAGGCGCAACGCTGAAAATAGGTACCAGAGACACAGTTCCACTGACCCTCGGGGTTACAAGCCTTACCAGGCGTCATGGAGCCGTCGGCAGCATCACCACCGGATCCAGCACCGGGAGAAGGTGCGAGGGTAGGCGTGGCGGGCGAAGCAGGTGGCGGAGTGCCTGCAGAGGTGGGAGCTGGAACACTCACGGTAACCCCAAGCTCCGAGGTGCAGTTGTCACTAGGTGCAGCTGGCTGGCTGACAGTAGCGAAGGTAGTCGGCTGAACGGGCGAGGCAGCAGGGGCGTTGCTGGGGGCCGGGACTGTCATGAAGACGCCGCCAGGGCTTTACAAAGTCAATAAGGACTAAAGGACAAGATGGAGTCTCAGGTGGGCCACTTACAGAGACGATGCGCCTCCAGCAGGAGTGGTGGTAATGGTCGGAATGCTCGACTGGTAAGCCTGGGTGGCAGACGGAGCAGGAGCTTCGACGGGCTTAGAGCTGCTGGGAGCGCTGCCGCTGCCACCGCCGCCGGTGCCAGGGTTAGGAGCAACGACCGCACCACAGTTGCCGACAGGAGGAGCGGTTTTAGTGCCAGCCATGGTAACATCCGGACCGGGGTCGGGGAACATGACATCAGATCCCTCGACAGTGCTGCAGCCGTCGGCGATGTTGGCCTTGAAGATCTGGGGACGGCTGCTGAACGGAGTGGCAGTGCTGCCTCCGGCGCCACCGCCGGTGATGGTGATGACAGCACAGTTCATGTAGCTGTTCGGATGTGTCAGCAAGGCAGATCTTTATTTCAGAAAGAGGTAGGCGGGAGAAGAGGGAAACGTACAATTCTCGGTTGCCAAGGTTGTTGAACCAGGTCCAGGCGAAGATGGCATCCTTTGCAGAAGGGGTATCGGCGGGCAAGGTGAACTTGAGAGAAGAGGTGCCAGCGGCGGGGCAAGCGCCGATGTAGCTGTGGATGACGGTGAAGGTCTTACCGCTGTCGAAGGAGAGGGACGCCTGGCAACTACCACCATTGTGGTTGGCACCGCCGGCGATGGTCATGTTGTAAGTCTGGCCAGCCTGCCAAGTGGCGACGGGGGCAGCCTCGGGGGTGCCGAGAAGCTTCAAGTCGCCCTTGCAGGGGAAGTCGCTGCCAGAAGCACTCAAGGGGCTGGTGATGCTGTAGTCGATATCATTACCAGAGTAAGGGTTCTCCTTGGATCGCAGAGGCGGCGGGTAGGTGATGGCCATGTGAGCGGCGGCCTGGCTGGCTAGCAGCGCAAGCGCGGATACGAAAGTACCCTTCATGTTGTCGTTGTTACTGGTTGGACGAAAGGCCGGTGCGAGATGAGGTGGGATGGAGTTGTTGTTTTCTTCCAGAAAAGAAAAAAACAACTAGGGCTTGATGGGAAGTTTGGAAGGTGTTTGTGTATGATTTTTTGGGGTCTTGTGAGATGTGTCAAAGAGTGTGTTTGCTCCTCGTCTTGATTGAGATATCCGCGGTTCGGTTGATCCTGGTATTGGGGGGAAGGGGGGCTTCAATGTGTTGTTGGTGAGTGATAGTGAGTCGTTCAAGTCAAGGTGACTGAGACGGGGGATATCTTCAAGTTTTTTATTCTCCGAGAAAGAGAGAGAAAAAAAAGTCTTGAAGTCGAGAAAGAATAGAAGTCAAACAACTGACAGTATTGGAAGGTCCAAGGAATGTGGTCGATGTGCAACAGCGAGGCTGGTCGCGAAGGATAGTACGTAACCGCTGCGAGTATTGAAGAGGCAGGGGAGGAAGGAACGATGATGAGGCTACTGATTTCCAAACGTGGAAAGCGTAGAGTGAAACCAAGTTGGGCTGGATTCTTAACAGTCAAGAGCGTGTATGACGGAACGTCGTAGACGAGTGAGCAGTAAAGGAAAAAAATGCGCGAGGCGAAGGAAGGAAGAGAAAAAGAGGTCGAATCGGTGATGAAATCAAGTGCGGATGAGGCAAGAGGAAGTTGTGGAAGGCAGGAGGCCGTCATTGGGTCTTTATCGTTGAACAAACCCATACCACGACCAACCAACTTGTCCATCTCAGGTAGGAAGGTACGAACGGGAAGCGAGCAAGGGTGAATCGGCAAGTCTGCATCTTGTCCCGTCGTCGCATAGGCACAGCCCATCTTGATCCATGGCCATGCGGCCAAGGTAGCGGTCGCGGGGTGTGCTTTTCTCTCTTGCGCCGCAAAAAAAGACTACCACCCACCCCTGTCGTCTGCACCTTTCTCTTCGTCTTCTCTATATTTCTTCACCATTATCTACTTCTAAATACTTTCCCTTCCCGTGTTGGTTGCCTCTGGCGGCTTGGTATAGCTACCTGCTGGCTTTACCTCCAGGCTCTCAGACGCTGGCAGCTAAAAGGACCCTTGGCCATCCCTTCGACGTAGAGTAGGTGCGATGCGGACGCCGTCTGGTTCGATGCCCTCCCTTTTCTTCTCCCTCGGGATTCTTTTTCCACGGGCCCAAGTCAGGGCGGATATCTCGGCTGCTCCGGCCCCTTCCTTCATGTCCAACGGCGCCTCGATGTCGAGAAACCCCGAGTTGCGCCCAGGGCCCGCGCCGGATTCCAGTCCACAGTAGGCAGCACACGTAGTTGTCTCCCTTGCGCAATCCTTGTACTCACCATTTTGCGCCTTACCCGCCGTCTACTACCGCCTTGCGGGTATAGGCCCCCCAGTCGTGCATGTGTGTACTACTCTCCAGATGTGATGATCAGTGGGCCAACATGTAAAATAGCCTGAACTTGGCTGCAATGTCGATTAGAGCGCGCATCTAGTCAATGTGGTAGCGCGCTCTTGTCTCTGATGTGAGTTGGGGGCGGATGGATGGTGGCTAGGAAAGTGGAAAAGGTGGGATGAACCAAGGATCCCAAAAGGGACAGGGCTGATCCAGAATGGTCATTGGCCAAGGGATGAATGCACTAATGGCAGGGCACTGCGGTAGCTGCGCGGTAAAGATCTGAAGCGCAAGGGATGCAAACCGACCCTGGAAGTGGAAGGGGATGGATGGGGTGCCGCCGTCCTCGCCCCTTTTTTTTTTTTTTTTTTTTTTTCCCGCCGTTCGACGTTGCTGCTGCTGCGGCTGCGGCTGGTTCCTTTCTTTTCAGACTCACGTCCAACCAGCTAGCTCGCGTGCCTGAGACGTCCAGTTCGCTGATTGGCCCAGCCCGTTTACTCACACTAGCTCACCTGTGCTTGCTGTAGGTAGGTATTACCTCTTTTTACCTTACAGCACATCACCTGTTGTGACACTCCCGGACTAGCTCAACAGTACCCGAAGAGGAAGAAATCACAAAATCGACGGAGCGTTTTCTCCATGTCTGTTTGTCCAACTGCCAAAATGGCTCAGTATCTGTACCAGCTATGACAAGCGAACCAAGTGTCGTTGAGGGTTCCACTTTGCCTCCCCTCGTGCACGCCCGATTGCATTCCTATCAGTGTGTTCCAGCCATACTACCGGCCCAGCGCCTCATCCCCCCTCTGACGCCCCTCCGTCGAGCCATCCCCTGGAACCGACTGTGACGTGACTTGGCGACAAGGGCCTGGGCTTTAAAAGTGGGAAAGAGTAAAAGGAAGAAGCGAAACCTGGAGGAGATGGCCTGAAACATGCGGCTTGCGTGCGCCGCCAATTGGCATGCGCCGTGCAACCGCCATAAATGAAAATGTTTCCTGCCGTCCCATCCAGCCAGCCGCCCGTCGCCCGCTGCCAGACTAGGGCCCACCCCCATGCCTGCATTCACATCACGTCTTGCCGTGCCGTTTCCCTACCTTAGTTGAACTCCAGCCGCTGCTATTTTCCCTTCCGACGATCCTACCCAGAGTTTCTAAAAAACTAGATTGAACTAGAGATAGAGCCACCTCGTCTGCTCAAATGCTAGTCATCGAAAAAATAGACCATATGCCATATATAGTCGACTTCACGTCATCCGTATTTCTGCCTACCCTGCCATGCCTAAGAATGGGATCTATCTGCACACCTTGGAACAGCCCTACGCGAAGCCATGCTTTCGACCCAGACCACGCTCGAACATGTCGAATCCAAGACCCTCTCTTGCTAGTGCGTGACAATGCCGAACGTGCCGTCTGAGATATTCCCGCGACGCTAGTGTTTCCTCTTGATCTATCTCCCTTCCGTCATGGCCACTCGTGCCATTCCGATGTGAAAACTCCCACCCGGCATCATTTCTTTTCTGTATTTCCCGCTCAAAGCGGCCAATTGCTATCCGTGATGGACTTCGTCCCTTTCGTTTGCTCATAGGCTCAGGATCGTCCCTTGTTGAAGTAATGTTTTTATCATGTTCAAGCCACCTAATGATAGATGGCTTTAGCCTAAGCTGCTTGATTCCTACGCTTCTTCTCACCAACTCTGTCCAGTTACCTGCGACATCCATCCTTCACATACGCGTCTGAATCACGACCGACGTCCTCACATCCCCTTAATCCCGTGCCATGGCCCGCTCCCGTGAGACATGAACAATCGCCCTCTTCGCGGCATCTTCGCGAAAGGCCCCTCTTTACCACCCCCCGAAACCCCTTGGGAGCTGATTCCGAGCTATCGTTTCACCAGCACAAGGCTTTCTGATAAACAAAACGCATTGCGTGCAGGAAGCCTAATCTTGTCTTTTGTCCCAGTGATTGGACTGCTCCAACTGACATATGACCCGAGGACGCCATCGCACAGCGGTGTTGTTTTCATCGCTGTTAACTGCCAGTACAACTATGTTCGTGACGTCTGTCTCAGGCTCCGCAAATCGAGTGGATGTCATGAACGCCGAAGGGGCACAGGTGCTGAGGCAGGTGAGGCGGGTTTCCACGGCGCTGTCGGCATGCCTTGGTCATGTTGACATGCTCATTTGGCTTCCTCGGAGCCTTCAGCAACGCGGCCGGGACCGCCGGCAGGAACCGAAGGAGCCTGTTGAGGAGCTTGATGCTGCCCGTGATTGGCAAACGGCTTGGCTCCGTAACTATTGCCGCCACTGCGATGCTGCGCCCCATACTGGTGCATTTGCGAGGGGCTTGTTCCGAAGTGCTGAGGACCAGGGCTGTTGTACCCACGGACGTTGCCAACTAAGCCGGGTGTTAGCACTTTAGTGGTATCGGCCGCCGGGTACCATCTTACCCTGACCGCCGGGTTGCTGCGGGGTGAACGCAGGCTGCTGATACTGCACGTTGGGGCTCATGCCATATACCGGCTGACCCTGCTGAGAACCTTGGTGAACCATCATGGGCGCTGATGGGCGCCCCGGACTGGGATAGCCGTTGGCCCCAGGGATGGGCTGAGGCGGTGCGCCGTTCGGAGGCATAAACTGGGTGTGGTTTCCAGCATACATGGGCATCTGCCCAGGGGCCGGAACCATGCCCTGAGGGTTCATGAACTGGGGCATCATCGGTGCTCCCATAGGGCCACCGGGCTGTTGCGGCATATACTGGTGGTTATTGGAGAAGTTCCGATAACCGCCCATCTGGGGTGTGCCAGGTCCGACAAAAGGCTGCATCATCGGCTGGTTGTAAGGAACCTGACCAGCCGAGCCCATTGCCGGTGTGTAAGTGATCGGGACCTGGGTCATCCGAGGAGAGGCAAACGACTGCGCCGAGTTTGAATGCATCATCCGGTGGTCATCCATGTTCTGGTAAGGCGTATGAGGGACGTGGCCATGCTGGTTCTGTATAGGCATAGGCGGCATATGTGGAGACTGGCGTGGGCCAAGGCCATGAGCAGGCTGCTGCAAATGGAATGGAAGCTGATGCTGGTGGGCACTGGGCACAACGTGCGTGTGGTTCGGCGTGGCGATTGACGATGCAGCGAACGACTGGCGCTCCAAGAACTCCTTGGAAGTGATAAGCATAGTGGAGTCGGGCTTCTCATTGTCTGAAGGCGCTCTCCAGGTCGGCAGAGTGTCGTACGAGGGCCTCAAGCCATCGTTGTCATCCCAGTTCCGACCTTGAGGGGGTGCAAAGGTCTTGACATGCGCAAGGATGTAGCATTTCTTGACATCAACAGCTTTGGTCTTCCGGCGAATGAGTTGTCCGGCGGACGCTGGGGTTGGCGTCGTCTCAGTACCACTAGCGCCAGCAGCACCGCCAGTACTAGCAGCGGCAGCGCCGGCGTTGTTGGCGGCAGCAGAGCGAGGACTGGACCCGGCACTTGGATGACCGTTCGGGTTGAACGACGTCGCAAACGGGTTGGGTCTGAATTCGTGACTGTTTGGGTTCAGCTTTCCGCCCATGTGGCCTGGGACACCGCCAGCGCGCCGGAATGCTTCCGTATTGTTCGCGGGACCCGTTGGGGGCATACGCATATCCTGGCCACCAACATGCTGATTGGGTGCCTGCGACATCTTCTGTTGCTCCACATTGCGCAAGCGTTGGGCCAACGGCTGACGGTTCTGCGAAGTCATGTGTTGACTAGATCTATCGTTCCTGTATGCTTGGGTGTGGTACTGAGGACTGGCGTAAGACTGACGAGCATTGGGATGGCGGCTCGGGACGTTGGAGGGAGATATCGTTTGTTGCGCAGGCCCTGGGCGTGCCGTGCTCTTGGTCTCAGCGGGAACTTGAGCTGCCGGGATGTCTGTAGACGGCTTTGCTGCGCCATCCTTTGAAGGACTCTCCTTGCCCTTGGGGGCGGGCGTCGCCTTTGTGCGAGCAACTTCTTCCGCGTTCTGAAGCGCCTTGGCCTGGATCTCCTTTTGTTTATCAGGATCCTTGGCAATGATGGAAATCAAGTCAGTAGGGACAGGGGTCGACAGCTTGAAAGTGTCGGCAAATTTCTTCAGCTCTGTCAGTTTGACTTCCTTGTCAGCCTTTGCCTTGCTGCTTCGAACTTTTTCAGCATTTTGCCGCTGTTGGCTGGCAAAAGACTTGAAGGAGTTGAGAACGTCGCGTTCCACGGTCGAAGCTGCGCTCGGCGCGCCCTCTTTGACCTGAGGAGAGATGGTTCGGCTCGTAGCTGCAGAAGGACGAGTCGCGGGAGCAGGGTTATCCACAGCCTTAGCTTCGCTGGTCTTCTCAGAGACTGGTTTAGTCTCTGCCGGCTTGAGCTCGGCCTGTTTGGTCGGGTCTTGCTTAGAAGCAGCTTTAGCCGCGGGCTTCGGGTCGACAGCCTTGAGCGTTTCAGCAGACTGGGCGGCGTTACCCTTATTTACCAGCTGGCTCAGGAGCTTGGCATCTTCCGGCTTCACGGTGGTCTGCTTCTTTGCAGGTGCTCTCAACTGCGATGAGATGATCGCAGGGTCGACAGGGGCCCCAGCCACATTTGTGTTCGAAGAGGGAGCTCGTTTTGCGGGAGGGGTGTACTTGTTCTCGCGGCTCGACAGAGGTGGGAAGTCCTGGCGGCGAACTCCACTGTACCTTAACATGGCTGTTAGCTTTGGACGCCGTCATCGCAAGTGAAACCCGTACTTGTCTTCTTCATCGCCACCGTGATCATCGCCACCGCTACTGACAAAATCCATCACGCGCTCCTCCGCTACGTGTGCCGTGGTGGCCAGGCTTCGCTCAATCTCGCGGGCCTTGCGATCGGCGGCGGCCATGCGCTCCCGGTACTGGGGGTGACTCTTGTCAATGGTGGTGGTGTAGATGTTCTCGTCATAGTCTGTCTTGAGCCCGAAGAGTCGCTCATTCTCGGCGAACTGATCCCAGGCTCCTCCGCTGGCGGAGGACTTCTCCAGGCTACCGTCAATTCCGTCGCTGGAGTCGGGGATCCATGGTTGAAGGGTTCGCTCGCTGCCCGGTCGGTTGTTGGAAATGGCAGTATCGGTCCTGAACCCAGATCGGGCGCCTCCAACATAGTTAGCATCGTCATAGAGGTCAACCAAGTTGTGGGAAAGCACACCGTTCGGGCCCTTTCCATCGGCCTTACCACCCATGGCTGAGTCCCTCTTGTTATAGGGCATGTTGTTCAACTTGTTACCGTTGTTCCCGATCTCACTTTGTTTCTTGGGCGCAACCATCTTGCGATCTGCGGATGTCGTGGTAGTACAGAAAGAAAACCTTCAACGGCAGTGCCACCGTGACCGCCAATACTCTCCAATCCCCTGTGACGAAGAGTCAGCCAGCTTCGCGGTTATTAGCTGCAACCCATCAAGGAGTCTTGACTCAAACCAGTCCACAAGAAAGTGATCGTATTGCCGATGTGATGAATTTCACTCCCAATGGATGGGACACCACACCGTGGCCGAGAGTGGTGGAGCAATTGTAATTATATGGAATTACGCACCTTGCGACGGGAAAAGGAGGATATGTTGGCTCGGCGGGCTCGAAATCGAACAGTCGCCGTTGACTGGCAATCGGCAACACAATCAGACGGCGAGGCCGCACCCGGCCCTTCAGTTCTGGTCAGATTCGACTGTGGTAATGGCAACGTTGGCAACAGTTAGCTTCCAGGGTCCACCAGTGGGGGGCAGAAGCATAAAGAACAGACAGCTGAGTCGCAGCTTGGCGCAGGGTTGAAGTATAGGTACGGCAGTAAGGAGGGAGAGGATATAGGGACGCGGTAATGGAATAACGAGAGTTTAGGAAGGGAACGATGTCGTGATGTCCGAAGACTTGGGCCCAAGAAGCAGAGATGGGGATGTGGAAAGGGCAAATGGCTATATGTCTCACCTAGGTAGTTCTGGTGCAGCGAAAAGGGCTCGAAGAGGCCTAATGGAAAGTAGAGAAACGAAAGGCGTCGTCCCCTGATATCGTCCAGCCGAGAAAACGGAACTGCACGAACTGCGTCGCAATTGGGCGACTCGATTCGGAGGGTTTGAGGGGGGGAGCAGGCTCAGAGACCAGCGTCGATCGTGGGCGAAAAAGGGCGAGAACGTGGAGGGAGTTTGGGATTGGGTGTGGTTGAGGTGAGGTGAGGCTTTGTGTTCCCACCACCACAGGCTAGCAGCAACTGGCACCAGCAGTCCCCTACGAATATGCCGGACCCTGGTGCTCTTGTGGAAGGTCGAACGAAGGTGCTAACTCGGGGTACCTTTGCCTATAGTGGGCCTACACTGCGGTATTATGTACCTTGCGCCATGTCACTTTTGTATGGGGGCTAGCGACCTACCTAAGAAGAGTGCGTGGTGTGGGTGCGGGTACGGATAGTGCTCCCGGGGGATGGTCAGAGATGAGTGGCTCCTCCATCGTTTAAGCCCCCTCGAGCCATCGGGTCAATCCACTACACTCTGGGCGGTTGATTGAAGGCACGAGACACCGCCTTAGGTTGGCTCACCTTTACCAGGTACGTTGTCACGCTGAACAGCGTTGGTTGGCAAGAGGAAGCTGGACTGGGCAAGACATGGAATTGAACGGTTAGGTACCTGCCTATTGATCCAACCATCTTGTCTCCTTGACTTCTCCTTCTGGGAGTTCTTTTTTTAGGCTCTCTGCTCTGGGAACTTTAACAGTAGGTACCAAACATCCCCCGTTCAGAACTGGGGGGGCCGTGCTTTGTGTTGTTCCCCGCCTCAATCCCATTAGGTAGGTGTGTCCATGCAGTGTTTCGAGCAATCGCTCAGAGAAGACTCGTCCCCCTTAGTATTGTTGTCCATTTTCCTATGCTCAGCTGGCAGTGACCGGAATAAAGACAGCTAAATGTTGGGGTTCTGATTTATGCCTCATCCAACCGAGCCTGTATATATCATTCTCCCGGTCGGCCCATCTTACTTATCTGTTGCACTTTGTTTAGAGAGACGAGGGCATCCATAGGTAGCCAATGATAGTTAATACAAAGATCAACCCACCAGACCAATCAGTGGTGTCCATGTAGCCCGTCGCATGTTCGGCGTTACCACCAGACCCCGTAAGTTTGTTAAAAACCGAGTATCTTAGCTTTGGATGGAGAATTTGTGGGTTTCTGAGCTTAGTATGGCTGTGCTTTGGGCATCGCCAGCGTCTGCCGCAATGAACAACATAACGAGTTGAGACCGTGGATATCTGCAACAACGGGTTTCTTGGTTTTTACAATATGGCAACGTCAGAAAAACTTTCGCTGGAAATCAGGGTGCTCACCCTTTGCCTCAGACCACAATCGGTCTGTCTGCTTGGGCTCGGTTGTTTATATGAAGTCCGCCAACAATTGGTGTCGCTGCCCATTCGTCCCTTGACTGTCCGTCAACCGGGTTTCCTGGGCTGACAAAAGGGTCGCGAGAAACACCGGACGAACATGTAAACAAAACAAAATTTTCATACGAGGGAATTAGGCAACCTAGGCAGACACAAAAAAATTCTACTACATATGTTCACAACGGATACATTTCCCCAATCTACCGCAAATGCTTGACTGTTGGTACACTGATCGTTCGGCCGCTAGGAGCCAGGCTGTTTCCCGTCTACACCCGAAGGCCAAGCTCCTCGGCGTACGGCAGCGCGTACAGGTCCCCGACGGCCGCAACACTGGCCTTACCCTCCAGGAGCGTCTTCGTCGCCTGCAATACAGCTGTTAGTATTCCAGCTCACAAAATATAGAAGGTTAGGTCCACTTACCGCCTTGAGCTTGTCAGCCGTGACGGATCCGATAGAGTTGGCGATCTCGGCGGCGTCGATGGGCTTGCCGTTGTGGACAAGTCCGGATCCGGCAAGAAGAATGCTTCCGCTGCGCTTCTCAGTAGCCTCAAGAGCGTCAAACTTGGCCTTAGCAATAGCCTTGGTCAGGTCCTCCTTGCTGACGGTACCCTCGGAGATGCTCTTCAGGGCCTTGACGGTCTCCTGAGCAGCGGTGCGGACAGCGGAAGCCGATCCCGAAAGCTGAACAGCCAAGAGTCCGGCGTCAGAGTAGTTGAGATTGACGGTGGAGGTGGACAGGCCAGGGGCGGAGCCAACAGCCTTGTTGATCAGGCTGAAGCCGGGAGACCACTTGATGCTGGACTTGCCACCCAAAAGGGCCGCAAGCACGGCAAGCTCAGGAGAGGTCTGACCGTTGGTAGCGCCAGGGAAGGCAATGACCAAGGCGTTGCCAGAGGGGCTGTAGGTGCGCTGCTCGCCACCGTAGTACTTCGTGGCGGCAGTGTTCAGAGCGAGCTTTCCGGAGGAGGCAGAAGGAACGGTCTTGAAGAACTGCTCAGCCCACTTGCTCACGTTCGCGGCGGACGCACCGTCGGCAATCAGGGCAATGTTGGACTTAGCGAAAGCGGACTGGGCGAACTCGGAAACGGCGAACTCGCTCAGGTAGGGCTGAATGGGAATCGAGGGTGTCAGGTTGGCGGGGGAGCCGAGGCCGGAGTGGAAAGCAACGGAGTGGGCAGAGTCGAGAGCGAGAGCAGCAGCACTGACAGCGGACTGCTTCAAACGGAGGACGGGCTGAACCTCCTCGTGGAACTCGTGCGCTAAGCAGCAATCAGCCAGTTGTATCACACATGCCATATTCTGGAGGGAGTCTCACTGGTGTACTTGGTCTGCGAGACAACCTCGGCGAGAAGTTCCGTAAAGTAGGGAAGGTCATCGCGGAAGAAGCTGGCCTCAAGGACAAGGGCTTCACGGGTGTGGTATGCGGTCAATTGGCTGCCGAGAAGCTCGGATTCGCGGACGATGCGCAGTCCAGAGCGCTTTGCAGTGGTCTACTCGTTGGAAAACTTGTCAGCGCAATGTTTCTCAACGGACTGGTTTCAAGGGTTGGATCTTGGCTTCGCATCGTACCTTGAAAGCAAAGGACTCAAGACCAGAGGTCAGTCCGGGAAGAGGCTGATATCTGGTACCGGCCTTGGCCACGATGGCCAGCTTGGTTGTAGGGCCCTGCGAGTCTCTCGCGGCAACCTTGACACCACCAACGTCGGAGGTCTCGAAGGCGCCGGAGCCAGCAGCAGCGCTGGCGAACCGGCGACCCGAGATTGTGCGAGCACAGCTCGAGTGGCGTAGAGCCTGCTGCGCAGGTCTCGCGAGAGACGGTCTAGAGATCATTGCGATGATGCGGTTGCCGACAATTGGCAGATCCAGTTTCGTGACGCTCAATTCGTCGGAGCTTCAACAAGAAAGTGCCTCGTCACAATCCCGACCAATTTTCGATCCATCGAACGAGGTTAGCTACGGGTCACTCGTACTATCACGTGACTGAAAAGTGCCTTGTCTCCGAACCTCCAATGAACGGTCGACTGATTACGTGCAACAGGGGCTCCACCGATTTTTCTTCCCAAGTTTGGAATATAAGCCTTAGGTAATCACAGTGATGAGTCGGACATTTCCTCGCATCGTTGGGAACTGAGGCTGGTGACCACCGGGTCTCTCCATCAAGCCACGGCGAGCCCCCCCTACTCCTCCACCGGCCGCAGATCCTAGGATGTGGCACCTCTGCGGCTCAGCCAAGTACCTGTTTAGGTAGTACCTGAAAGGTTCTAGCCTTGACTCACCTTGACTGTGTCGGTGACTCGGCGCTTTTCATTGATTTTGTCCCCCACCCCGCCTTAGGTGGCCCGCTGCCCAAGGAAAAAAAAGTTCCATACGGATACACTCACTCGACCTCCGTTCCTTTGCCAGCCAACGCAAGCGACACTTGACTGCGACCACATTGTTTTCCGGCCGATTGCTTCTTTCCCACACCACGCACCGGCATTGCATTATTTCAATGACTTCGCGGTAGCTTTTGTGGCAGCTCTAGGGATATTGAGAGAATCTCTAGAGTCGATTGATTACTGAATCCACGTTTCGCAATGTTGGTGGTGAGTCCTGCATGCCGCCAATAAAGCTGAACCGACAACTTTTTTCTAACATTCAACCAGACCAAACATGGCGCCGAGCTTTGTGCTCACCTCGTCAACGACATTTGCGGCGAGCTCCCTGCTGTAAGTCTGCTCAGCACCCTGGTCTTTTCCCAGTTGGCGCATCATCTCTGCACATCTTTGGCGACATGCCTCATTATTGTGTCTTGCTGACAGGTGCTCTTCCAGCGAATCTTAGGGGTCCTTTTTAGCAGGGGCAGGTCTACTATCGCACAGCTTGTCCAAACTACGGCCCTTACTCCGCGACAGTTGCGTCATGGCCTCGCCGTCCTTGTCCAGCAGAACCTTGTATATCACCAGGCCGATTCCAAAAACACGATCGCCACATACGAGGCCAACCCAGATGGATGTTACAATCTCATTCGAGCTGGAAAGATTATTGAAATGGTTGGTATCGAATACGGCAGCGCTGAGCAGGAGGTTGTGCAGACCGTTATGCAACTCGGCCATGCCAGGGTGTCGGACCTGCTGCAGGCATTCGAGAGCAGAGATGGGCTGGGCATCAATGGCGCCCATGCGACCAATGGCCATGTCAATGGCAACGGCTTCAAGCCGAAGACCAACGGAAGTACCATGGCGCACTCGTCTCATCAGTTGCACGCTATTCTTAGCCGGTTGATTGCAGCTGAAATCGTCGACCAGGTTGGTCCCAAAACATTCAGGAACCCTGAGGATGTCTACCGCGAAATCGAAGAGGAGGTTACCAAAACGGCCCCTGGCGAGCGAACAACAGCGCGGAACAAAGAACTCATGCAACAAGAGGTGGCAAAAAGACTGCGAGAGGCTCGGGACGAGAGCAAGAAGCTGAAGCGTCAAGTTGGACGGGGCGGCATGCTCTCAACCAAACGGAGGAAGCTTGTAAACGGCAGCGGACAACGACAGTACTCAGACTGGGATGATGATGTGCCAGAGCTCGATGTGAGTTATTGCTCTCAACCCACGAAGAGTCAACCCAACTAACAGTAGCACAGTCGCATATCGTTCTCAGAGTGAATGTTGAAAAATGTCTCGTCGAACTCCGTAATCAACGACTCGCCCAGTACGCGGCTGATGCTTTCGGGGAGGTCACCGGCCAGGTATACCACACAGCCTTGCGGTTGCTAACGCAACAAGTACCTCGCTGTCAGCTCGATCCAAGAATCGACTCCGATGCAAATGACGGTGACGGCCCAGGCCCGAATGTACGCCAGCCAACCGTCACTAGCATGGAAATCCTTGAAGCCCTTGATGAGTCTGTTGATGTCTCTCATGGAGTTGGCAAGGCTTCAGCAGATCAGATTGACCATAAAAGCGCCGAGAAAATAAGAGCTGCATCCGGCCAACCCATGTACGATTCTGATGATTCTTTCGACGAAAGCCCGCCAGTGCCGAGGGCAACTGCTCGCTCCCAGACAAATGGTTCAAGAGGCGGAGAGTCTGGCGATAGCGAAGATGACGAGCCACGAGCTGTTTCTGGGTCTCGGGAAGCAAAGGTCAAATTTGAGGACGGGCCTGCACCAGGTAGTAGTCGTATGGACCAAGTACGACAACATCTTCTCCTACTATCAGAAAGCAGGCAGGGGTTTCTGCGGCATTGCGGTGGCCAGGGTCGAGGCCAATGGACCGTCGACTTCAAGCCATTGATCGAAGGCTTCAAACAGACGGAGGTGGATGCCGTGATCGAGCAATCATTCGGTCGGCATGGACTTCGTCTGACTAGAATTTTGCGAGAAAAAGGCAAATTGGACGAGAAGATGTTGCCTTCCCTTGCTCTTATGAAGAAGGGAGAGGTGCAGGGCAAGATGCTTGCGATGCAGATGGCTGGTTTCGTTGACGTCCAGGAGGTCCCGAGAGATGCTAGCCGAACAGCAACACGAACCATGTTCTTCTGGTTCTTTGACATTGAGAGGATTGAAGCTCAACTTGTCGACGATTTCTACAAAACCATGCTTCGATGCCTTCAAAACTTGGAGGTCCACCGGTATCGGGAACGGAACATCCTGTCTTTCGTGGAGAGAAATGATGTGAAGGGTAAGGAGGAAGAAGTCATGACTGCGGAGCACTACAACAAATACAGCAGATACTTGGAGTTGCAGAGTAAGCTTCTCGGTCACGTCATGAGACTTGACGATCTGGTAGCTGTCTTCAGGGACTACTAGATGGAAGCATGATTAACGGGTGGCGCCTTGGTCATGGGTCAAAAACTGGCAGGGGAAGGCAGATGGTAGATACCCAACAAATCAACACGAAGACGCCGACATTTGTTAATGGCGTCTCAGCCTCGTGCTCAACATCTGTGCAACTCTAATTGTTCGGTAAATTTCCATGGATACTCCGATCATGGAGATCAAGTATTGGTTAATCAGCCTCCATTCATCTGGTGTATTCATTTATCAATCTCAATCAAGAGCCGGATTCAACCTCGATCGTCCGGCGGTCGCAACGGTCGGGTCGCAGCGGTCGGTAGCTATGCTTCGGCGGGTGCTAGTCCCCACTTCCCGATGCTCGGCGGCGCTAGGGGCCCCTGTCCTTGCAGCAGGGCCAGCAGTCGAGCTGCGAGGCCGGGCAGAAGTGGTTGAGTAAAAATTTCCAGCTGTCTGTCTCCAAAAACTTTTGAACCACACACTCTTCGAACCGCTTCGTGTCGTGTGATATCCGTGCCCCTCGACCCCTACGACCTCCGGAGACTGCTTATTCTCTTGATCAATTGGAAGCTCGTTTATTGATTTCTTTCATCTTTCCACACGCAAATACACACATTCAAGATGTCTCCGCCTGTTGCTTCTGGACGGGAGAAGGAGTCGAACACTGCACGACTTCTGGGCTCCGGTATGCATTTTGCGCCTGGTCTCCCATGATGCGCAAACCTTGGCATGCTGACTCTTCGCAGGTTCCGCTGGTATCGCCGAATTGGCCGTCTTCCACCCCGTAAGTTTTGCGACAGGCTGCATTAGTCTGAAGTGGAGAAGCTGATGTGAAGCTTTAGGTCGACACCATCGCGAAGCGATTGATGAGCAACCAGACCAAGGTACGCACGATCACCGAAGACCTTTCAAAAGCTTCGGCAACACAACGGGCTCAAGAGACGTCTGACACGTATTCCAACCATTCTAGATCTCCGGCATCGACCAGCTCAACCAGGTCATCTTCAAGGACAAGGCCACCGCTCCCGCAGGCCGCAAGTTCTTCTCCCTCTTTCCCGGTCTGGGCTACGCCGCCGGCTACAAGGTCCTGCAAAGAATATACAAGTACGGCGGCCAGCCCGTTGCCAGAGACTACCTGAGCAAGAACTTTGGCGAGGATTTTGAGCGCGCTTTCGGCAAGAAGACTGGCAAGGCCATCATGCACTCCACTGCCGGCAGGTTAGTCTAGCTTGGGTGAAGGAAGCAGCTGGGCCGGGGTCATTGCTAACATGCAGAACAACAGTTTGATTGGTATCGGAGAAATTGTTCTTCTTCCCCTTGATGTCCTCAAGATCAAGAGACAGACAAACCCCGAGGCTTTCCGCGGTCGTGGTGTGTTCAGAATCGTCGCCGACGAGGGCTTCGGTCTGTACAGAGGATGGGGCTGGACTGCCGCCCGTAACGCACCTGGTTCCTTCGCTGTAAGCGCTTTTGCCTGCTCTGATCTTGGTTTCGACATGGCTAATTCTGGGTACACAGCTGTTCGGTGGTTCCGCTTTCACGAAAGAGTACCTCTTTAAGCTTGACGACTACAATAAGGCCTCGTGGTTCCAGAACTTCATCGCCTCTATCGCCGGTGCATCTGCCTCCCTAGTCGTATCCGCCCCCCTGGACGTCATCAAGACCCGTATCCAGAACCGCAATTTCGAGAATCCCGAGAGCGGCTTCAGGATCATCTCCAACATGATGAAGAACGAGGGTGCCGGCGCTTTCTTCAAGGGTCTTGTTCCCAAGGTACTTTTCCACCCTTGCCCTTTCATATTGACGCTAGTTGACGCTAACCTCCTCCCTTAGTTGTTGATGACTGGCCCGAAGCTGGTCTTCTCCTTCTGGCTGGCACAGACGCTCATTCCCGCCTTCGATGGTATGCTTAAATAAATACAAAAAAAGAGACTCAATTATAAAGGCCACGGCGTTGGGTTGATGAATATGGAGTCTTGGGAGCTAAACCTGCTAGACGGTTGGGTACTGCAAGAACCCGACGAAAGGGTATTAGACAAAGATGAGAAGCAAGGTATTTAGCTGGTCACCCAAAAGAAAAGGAGAAGGTGGTTTAAGGCCCCAGATAATGTACAACAACGTAGGATTGATTCGGATGAGACAAATCACCTCTGGTTTTAATACACATATACAAGACCATTGAGCCAATTCCAGAAACCAAATGGACGTTGGTGCGGACCATGTCCCAGCTCCCATCTGGCTATCGCTACCGAACAGTGAATATACCGCTGCTCTACAAATCCTTGCTGGATTCCGATTATACACAAGTCGTGCCCTGGAACCTGCTCCGGTGATGTTGATAAGAGTGACGCGATACGTTCCCAATTGGCCATATTCCACCAAGGTGCAAAGACTTCCACTCGGCGAGGTGGTATATATCCTTGCTCCACGCTCCCCACTAAATACCCAGGAAGCTCATCCGCGAATCTTCGTGTCTCGGTGACGGCGCTGATGTCTTAACCTTCTGGGAGTCTGTCGTATTTCGAAGGCGAGATCGTGGGTTCCATGCAGACGCCAAGGAACCTCGAACCGGGCAAGCCATGGATGCGTTGAGCAACACATCTCGCTCGTTGTTTGATATACCGACTCAACAAACACTATCACGGGTGATTCTGTCCGCTCTGATGCCCTATTTTGCTCCCGTTTCCGCGCCGTGCTGTTGTTGTTTCGGTACAGTTTCCCATCGATTACGTAGGTAGATCGAGCAGGACCATCCTTCAAGCCCGCTGCCACTCCTCTTCTCGAGCTCTAACTACTCCGCGCCGACGATGCTCGACATTTTATTCAACAGTCCTTGATTCGACAGGGGCTGACCTTCAAGTGTCGTCTTTTATCTCTCTTATCCGCTAGTTCTTTTTTCTAGCTTTCGCCCACGCAAGGTTCAGACTGGCCGGGCCCAGCATGACCGGTCATAGCCCACAAGGGCAACAAGTCGCAGCAACAACATGAACGTGTTTTTTTCTTTTTTCTTTTCTCCCTCCATCACCGTCCTTCGGTTCCTTGACATAGAGGCCTCCAAGACGATACCTGTGGCCACTGTGAACGTCAAACCTACAAACGGACAACGAGCGGTCGTAACTCACTCTTTATTGGATGAGGACGGTACATGGAGCCATATTGTCTTTTCACATGGGCTTCTTTCTTATTATCAAATCACATCCAGTCCAGAAATGGACGTACTGCGGGTTGGCCGTGGGCGGTGGCCACGCCCGACCAGATCTCGCAGTCTTGAGGCCATTGGAATCTATGCCCTCTATCAACTGACTGTGCCATCTCTCCCTCCGATCATCGCCGGGCTCATCGCTACCAAGAACAGAAACCGTGGTCCTACCCCAAGCCTTTTTGCCCCCGGGTTGCTTCTTCCATGCTCAAGCAACGAATCAACCGCCGGTTCGGGTCTCCCAGCTCTGCTCAGTTGTGACTTAAGGACGCTAGTTTGGCGGAATAAACGGCCTCCAAAGTTAACAATGAGACTTCTCAGCCAGGCGCACCTCATCACCTGGATTCTCGTGGAAACACTCGCTCGTGTTCATGACCTGATATACTTCGCGGGAGGGGATGCTGCCATCGAGCATGACCAAGGATGGAACATTGCCATCTTACAGCCCGGACAAACAACCTCATCCGTTAATTCTGCCAAAGTCCTGGGCCAATACACCCACGCAGGCACATGGCTTCTATGATTCCAACTAGGGCACTGAGTCCACTTCGAACATACAAGTTGTCCGCTCACACTCTGGCCACGCCGACAGCCCAACCCTGCCCCAGGGAGCAAGTGAGGAAATCCAACAGAGAAATTCTGCAGCCATTATAGATCAGGACCCAGAGCACTTTCTCCCATTGCATACAGCTAATACTCACACAGTAAGTCAGGGATTGGTAGGAAAAGGTATTTCTTGTCAATGGCTGATCTCTATGATTCCAGAGATTGCTGGTAGTAGACACAGAGTTTATGTACACACGCGGTCCAACGGGGAAAAAACACAACCCCATATGAACAAGACACAAAAAGTACTCCCAGACGCTTTGAGCACGATGGCTCGTACCGCCTTTATTCTACAACGCTTCTCTTGATCCAACTCGACATCCTAGTTTTCCCTCACCCATGTCAAAAAAAAAAAAAAAAACCCAGAAAAGAAAGCACACTCTGTTCCCCGCTCAACCTTTACCTTCACCTTTCTTTCCCTTTACCGCCCAGTCCGGGGGAGCATGCAACACCGAGAAGAGATGTAACCGCCTTCTATATGCAAAAATACCATCTAAGCGTGTTCGTTCTCGTGTGCGTGGGGCGCTTCTTAATCATCCTGGTTGTTGACCGGAGCATATCTGCCACTGCCGCCACTGCTCTGGTCTCGTGTACGACCGACAACTCTGGAGACCCATCCACTAATGGTGCTGCTGGCCTCGCCGTCCTGGCCCTTGCCATCGGGAATGTCAGGCGGGTCCAGTGACAGGCCGGGGATGGCGCTGTTGGCGGTGAAGTTGCCGGGTCGGCCTCGGTAGTCAATGGACCCGATAGGAGATCCGGCACGCATAAGCGAGTCGTTTTCGGCGGCGTGTACCGACGGCGTGCCGATGGCGGTACTGGCGTCTCCAAAAAGCGAGTCCATCTCTTCCAGACGGACTCCACAAGTTTCGGGATAGATGAAGTACACTAGGTGTTTCATGTCAGCCAGGTGACGTTCATAATGACAAGGAAGAGTGCAGCTTACCGACGACAAAACTGACTGCGCAGAAAAAGGCGTGCACGAGATACAACCGCCACTTGATCCATTCTTGCAGAATGGGCGTCATCTCTCCTACCAGCCAGTTGAAGGCCCAGTTGGTCGCGGTGGACAGACTGGCACCCTTGGAGCGAATGTTCAGGGGCAGGATCTCCGGGGGGTAGAGCCAAGGGATCGGTCCCCATGAGTACCCGAACGCCGCGTTGTAAATCATGACAAATATGACGACCAGAGTTGGTGTGTACGTTATGTCGAGGTAGATCCAGTATGAGATCAAGGACAGCGAAATTGACATGATAATGGCACCACTCAGGAGGATTGGACGCCGACCCCACCTGTCAACCAGGTACCAGGGAGGGATGGTCGACAGCAGGTACGTAATTCCGTTGATACCAGTCATGAGCACAGCATCGTGGCCGACCCAGCCCGCCGACTCGAAAACGTACGGGGCGTAGTAGCTGATGACGTTGATGCCATTAAGCTGGGCGAGACCCTGGGCCGACATGGCAATGAAGACGCGGGTTTTGTACTTGCGGAACATCTCGGCGTACGTGCGCTCTCCTTCTTGTCGCTGGAGAAGTACGTTCATCTTGATTTCGCGGTACTCGTCCCTAGCCTTGGGATTGTGGATGTCACCCTTTCCGTACAAATTGGCAATGACGACAATACCCTCCTCATCATGATCGTTGTCCAAAAGCCATCTGGTCACAGGTTAGGAATGCGCGCAGAGTCTCACAAACAGACTTGGAAACAAACCTTGGAGATTCGACAATCACCAGACTGCCGACGCCGAGAAGAGCTCCCATCACGCACTGCATCAGGAGAGGGAGACGCCATGACATGTCGCTGTCGATGAAGCCGCAGAAGTAATCGACCCAGACCGAGGTGGTATAACCGATAATGTTGCCAGAGAACTCGATGCAGGCAAGCTTCCCGCGGTTGTGCGGGGGGGAGATCTCGGACTGGTATACAGGGACGATGGTGGACAAGGCACCGACGCCCAGACCAGCAATGATTCGGCCAAGCATCATCATGGGCATGCCGTTGGCAAACGTCTGAAGGGCACCGCCAACGAAGAAGATCATGGAACCGTATAGGATAGTCTTGCGTCGACCGATGATGTCTCCCACCTTACCAACAATCAGGGAAGAGATGAAGGCACCGACCTCGAGGATGGCAACCATGGTACCGATTTCGGCCGTAGAGGGCTGGTGAAAGTAGTTCTTGAAGTGAGGGCCTCTGTGATATCGACGTGGTGAGTAGCAATATTCTCAAGGCAGGGGTGACAGCGACTCGCGGGGTGGTGAACGTACGTGATGATGCCCGACATGACACCTTGGTCATACCCGAAGAGGAAGACGCCCAACGATACGAATATACTCGTAAAGTAACTGCGGCATTGCAAAGTCAGTCAGCCGGCTCGTCGGGGAGGAGGTGATTCTCGGGGAGAGCGGGACGCACATCAGGGCGCGGCCAGTGAGGCCGTGAACAGAGGAACCGCCCGACATGATGAGGCCAATGACTCGCTGCGCGCGGGTCGGACGAGGCTGGGGGATGTCTGGGACCTCAATGGCCTCCTTATTAACGGCTCCACGACGGCTTGGTGAGGTATCGTGACGACCAGGAGAGAGTTGAATGCGAACGCGCTTCTTCTTGGAAGGCTTTGAGTGGGAGGGATGCCTTTTGTGGATACCGGCTAGCAGCTCGTCATCAATGTCGCTGGCGAGCTGGATGCGGAGGGGGTCTTCCTCGTCGGCAAGCTGCTCAGCGAGGTCGCCAGTGTCGGTCCACGAGTCGGAATCGGAGGCGAGAGAGTCCTCAGGTGACGGGTGACCGTGATGAGGGTCCTTGTCGTTATTGTAGTCGTGATGGTGGCTGTCGTGGCTGCGGATGTGGGAGGAGTGGTGGTGGTCACGGTGGTGGTCGTCGTTCCGATCCGAAGCGAGCAATGACGTCGCTTGGTCGTGGTGGTCTGGATGTGGACGGGCCTGCAGGGTCCGCAGGGGGATATTGGACGGAAGACGTCGGCCGTTTGAGGAGGGAATCTTGGGCGGTAATGGGGGCTGATTAGCAGCAGCGCCCTTCCGCTCTAAGAAGAATTGAAAAGGTTGGGAGTGGGAAGGGTTAAAAAGAATGTTTTGCACGACGCCTGGCGGAGACGGCGAGTCGAGTCGAATCGAGCCGAGCGAGTGAAAAGAGAGTAGTCGATGGGTGACGGATCAGTCAGGGTCTGGCAGCGAACAGGCCGAATTGGCATGGGGTAGGTAGGTACTCCTGCAGCTGGGTAAGTACTGTGGACAGACAACACAACCAACCCGGGCAGTGGGCGAAAGAGACGGTAAGCTGCGGGCGGGTGGACGGGCTAGCTGGGGCGTGGAAGGCGGGCCACTTGGGCGGAGGGAAAGGACGACTACGATTGGTGCCGGTAGGAGGGAGGGAAGGCATGGAGACGAACGACAATGGGCAGTGGATTGGGCCGGGCTGGCTGGCGGGTTGGGCTGGCAGCTGGGAAGGGAAGGCGACACACAGGCGGCGCGAGTCCGGCTTGCGGGTGGCAATCTGCTGCACAGTGACACACTGTCTTCCCGGGAAGCCTGCAAACGAACAAGGAACCGGCTTGGTAGAGACCCACTCCACTTGCTGCACCGCTGTGGGGACACGATGCGCCGCTCGATGCAGGACTGCGTCAGACACACACTGTAGGTAGCGTAGAGTACGCAGTATAGCTCTGGTGCTGGTGCTGGTGCTGGTGCTGATGCTGATGCTGGTGCCGGGTTGAAAGCTGCTGGTGGAGCCGCCTTCTGTTCAGCTGTTGAAGCAGAATCCGGAATCCAACCTGCTCCAGAGTCATCGTCCCCCGATGCAAGATGCCGCTGGTTCTCTGCCTCTTGATTCCGCTCCTTGGCGCTCAACCCGAGACAAGATAAGGAATAAGCGGGGCCTGCGAAGCAGGTATTGGAGGAGTACAACAAAGAGGTGATTGCCGATAGCAGATGATCGGATGTCAACAGACTCTCCGTCTCCCGATGCAAGATCCAATCCACCAGACGAGGCCTTACGCAACGGTGCAGGAAACGACCAATGGAGATGGGCGACGAACGAAAGAGAAGGGAGGGGAAAAAAACGACTTTTTGATAGACACCATTTTCTCTCAACGTACCTTGAAGTCCAGGTCAGGTAGTGCAGATCCACGCAGCACGCACCCAAACGGTCTGCCTTAGCACACACGAGACGAAATCGGCTGGGGTCCCGTATTCGACAGCAGGCGACACTCGTAGCAGTAAAAGATAGCGCGCGGTAGGGTGGAAAACCGATGACGATGAAGGAATGGGGGGGCTGCCTGCTAGTATCCGTAAGGCGGCACAATGGGCGTGTACCGCCGGGCCGGTACAGAAAAGGTCAAGAATAGAACAGATAGTGCTGGGTAGGAGGGCAACGATAGTAGATAGACAGAGCATAAAACGCGATGGATTAATCAGTAGTCATGTGGTTAACAGTCCGAGTCGTGGTTGTAGTATAGGTGCGCATCGAACGAAAAGAAAGTATCAGATGGTCTGGATTATGGCCGGGTTGCGGTTTGGGGAGGGAGAGAGAGAGAGGGTGTTGATGGGTTGAAAATGGTTGAGCTTGTGAGTCTCTCCAGGGACAGCACGCGACCTCCTTTTCTTCGCACGAACAAGAAAAAGAAAAGCAACAAAACACGTTGCTGCTTTCGTTTCCTGTTGCCCCCTTCTCTTTCTCTTTCCCCCTGAAATGAGGATTATCCGATCATGTCGCAGGGGTTTAACGCTTCTGGAGGGGGGCCAAGGGAAAGGGATCAGGTACCTCGTCGACGGGACGGCCTATCCAATGCCATTGCAAGATTGCGCAGTTGCACATCAGCCTTTCTGCAAGCTCCTCAGAGCAGGTTATTAGGTTATTACTGGGCACACTGAGGACCCAAAGGGGCAGAAGAGAGGCTTAGAAATTGAGGGAGCCACTTAACTCCCGACCAGCGTCCCCACGAGTTTCTAATGATGAAATCCAACCCAGTCTCGGCCGCCTGCGGTTTGGGATCTCGACGGGTTACGTATGCTTCGACTATGCCGCCTTTTGAATCCCAATTTCGTAGCGGACGGTCCTTGGGATCACCACGAGGTGTGCACGCACGTGAAACCCCTGGGCCGTGGCTGACTCGATCAAGTGGGTAACGCTCGGCCGTCGTCAGGGTTTTCGGGCCATGCGAGACCTTCCTCCAACCTTCCAAGCGTCTTCAACCGACATTCCGTCGGTCGGGCTAAGGCCTTCCCGTTTCCTCCACGGAGGGGTACGACCTCTATCTGAAATCAAATTGGTGATGACCCCCCGGCCCGATTGCCACGGAGGGACAACTGCGGACACCCGGCGTTAGGTCTTGCATAAACCCCCATCCAGCTTTCTCGAGATGAGGTGAGGCGGCGGCGGCGTCTTCGGCCCCCCTTCCTCCCCCTCTAGCTTCATGTCCGTCCGTACCGTGTCGTTTCGACAGACGTCTTTCCGGCGGTTCTGTGGCGAAACAGAGCGACACGGCCGCGTTGTCCTTGGACGACCATGCCGGTGGGGGAATCAAGAGCCCGGCGGCACCTGAAAGTAAGTGTGAACAATAGCGGAGGCGAGATCCACAACGGGTGCGCTCTGGCCGTCGTCGCCCGACCGCGATGGTCTTCTTCGTCAATCGACGTCATATCTTGGTTTCCATTAGGGGTCATCCCTAGTCACGAGTGTCCGCAAAACAACGCCCCGTGGGCGGGACCAAGGAGGGTCCATCCTCCCAGCAGTGCCTTACCCCAGACGATCCAACCCGCCCCCCAAAAGCCCAAAGCACCTTCGCAACCTCCCATCGCAAACCTCGGATCTTGCGAAAACCAAGATTAGATTGAGTCTCAGCGCAGGGAAAGTGTCAAGGTGCCACGGTGCAATATCTTCATGTGACCGCCTGACACCTGATCGGTATAGTTGGTCAGCGAGTTATAACGACAGACACGTGATGCGCGCCTCCACATCCACCACAGCGACGGGGTTGGCGCTGTGCCCCGGGACCATGAAAAGGTGAACAAACTTGCAGCTTATTGTCATCTGGCCGGGCGCCTTGATTGTGCTGCGTACTCAGCATTCCAAAACCCCACCACATCGGATCCACATGGAGTGGAAAGATGGCAACGTGCCCCGTCCACGATGGCCACCGCCGAATTCTCGTGGTCCCCCCATATGCGTGCTTGAGACCTGCATTTGGCACAGCGGGGCCCTCTAGGTATACAAGATACAGGTACAAGTACTTTAGGTTAGGTAGTTTAGAGAACGATCATGTCCACCTCTTTGCCTCCTCCCCCATGCCCCGCGTGTGCCACGAGTCGTGCCCGGTGAGGAAGGACCCTTTCCCATCGTGGAGACGGAGGGGAAGCCCGAGTATTCTTGACTAAGACATTGGGGAAAATTGACAGTGGGCGCTGCCAGGAAGGATGGCTTGTAATGTGGACGCCGTGGGGAAGGGGGACTGTTACCTCGAGAAATCTGACGGATGACCACGAGAAACGAGGCTAGATAATAGACGTTTGGCTCGGAATCTTGTAACTAGGTAGGTACCAGGAGCATTAAAACTTGAAGTTGAGTAGTCGCCGTTCTCCTTTCACTCGTAAGCAAGGAGTGATTATTCAATCCTTCTTCGCCACAGCTGCTACCGAATGATGCGCCGCCAGGCAGGACCCATGTACATATTCTCGCAGGCAGCTGTGCTGCTGGATCTTAATAGGCCATTTGCGAGGGAGAACAAGAACGCTCGAGGCTTCAGCCCAAAACACTAGCTTATACTACTATGTCAAACAGGATCCCCAAAGCTTAGAAAGAGGCTAAAGGAGAGTAAGCATGGTTACCGTCATGATGGTAGACTATGTCCCAATGCACGATGCATGGAGATGGTCAACGGTCAGCAGATGTCAACTGAGAGAGATGGCTCTCAAAACCCGCTTTAGCCCATCGACAACGGCAACAACAGCACGAAATATTTAGATTTCCAAGCAGTACCAACATATTTCTCCGAGACACAAATGATTCCGGGATCAGTACCAACGTTTCGTCGATCGTGTTGCTGTGAAGCTCGGTGTTGATAAGAGGGTTGAGAAGCAAAGGTTTGCTCTTTCACCCCCTTGATGGCGCGCGTCACCTTATACCCAATATGTCCTCGCCTGTGGGCTGCCGGTTTTCCTCTAGCTTTTGTTTCGTGAGTCTACCAGTAGAGTCTCCATGCTAACCAGATCCTCCAGCACGTCAGTGTTTCCGTCCTTAATTTGGGGTCGCTGCAGATTCATGATCTTGAGTGCTGTTTGCGGAAAATCTCTTCTTGCCTTTGTCCAAATTCATCAAGACTCATGTGGATGTAAATGACAAGCAATTCCAGCCTTGTTATCATTTTAAACATGGCGGATTGCCCTTTCTGCCGGTCGCATTCCATCGAAAAGGGGTATTTATTCTGTCACGATATATAAGCTACTATTACTGTCCACGTAACTAACGGTATCGTTTTGTTACGTGACATATTCACTCGAGACCTCGTTGCCATTTTGGCCTGCCCTGTCGTACTCAATTCCGCCGCTAACACTTAAGCATTTTAATGACAAGCTCTTATGCTTAGTCCAGGAATTATTTATGACACATATTACTATAGTAATCATGTGTGTTTTAAATGGTCAGGTTCGTGACGCGGCGGAAATATCTCCAGGGCATAGAAGAATAGCTCTGCATGTTAGTGCGATCGAGGACTTGTGAATAAGAAGTCTATTGAGACATAAACAAAGAATTCCACCTCCAACATGACTATAAGTAGATACTTACTGTAACATGCTAGTATTATTTTCTGCCGAAATTCTCTACATAATAACAAACAGTCTCCTGAAAGTGTATGTTGGCATTCTCCTTCTACGCATCGCCATCATGCCAACGGACATCTGGACTTTACGAATCATGCTCCTTATGACGGCTATGTTAGGAACAGGGCTCCTAAGTTTTATTGATATTCCAGTGTCAACTTGTTAGCAATTTCTGGGACAAAAGCCCCCGCTCGTCCGAGTACTGCTTCAATGTTAGTATTTTGTTCGGTCGCTCCACATACGTAGGAAAAACAAAGCACTTACCAGTATTTTACTAAGTTTTACGTTTATGTATATCCTACAACATCCAGCATCAACTATTTGCATGGCTCGGAAGTCGCCCAATGAAACTGTGTTGATTAACATATAGACTACCTATGTTGCAATAGTTCAAGTATAGTCACTGTTATTCGGCCGATTACTATGCCATCCCTACTGATTTTGAGTCTTGATAGCTTTCTTCATAAGCCAGCCTGCCTGTTTGTATAACCTAAGATGGGAGATGTCAGTACGAGACTATACTGAATTCCGGCCTGTCGTAGGTCATACCTCATACCTGATTATCTGGTCCACCACCGAGACCGGAATAGGTATATTGGAAGCCTGTGTACCGGCTTTGTGTCCTATTGACTGACGGCTATTTGGTAACAGACAACGTCAGGGGCACAACCGGAGGATTTGGTGGACGAGACCGCTCCCAACAATCAACGTTACGATTCCATTATCGAGAAATCCATCGAGGCCAAGGGAGTTCCAAGGTAAATCCAGCTCAATAAGCAAGCCTAAGCAACCAGCTGGCAGTTCTAATTTCAAGCCTCGGATGTCTCAAGTATATCCAACAATCTGACGAAGTCGGAATATGGACAAAAAGGGAGCGTGACGATTTCACAGCATGAGAGCGCCAATTGGCGATCATGGGTAGGAACGGGGACATGGAAGATTTTATTCTTCTTTTGTTCTCTAAGTGGGCATTCAAGTAACTATGAACAGCCAGGTGCTCGTTCCTTCCTGGATTAATAACTTTCTTCCGCTAGTGTCGTTCCTGCCTCCTACTTCAAACCTTCATCACCTCTGTGTCACTCTTATCATCAAGTCACAACTCATATTCAAAACTCCACATCGTTGCAACTCGGCAGAGAATCCTCTTCAAACCACGAATCATTAAAAAAACGAGGTAAGCAATAGACTGACTGGCTGGAAAATGTGTATCTTCTTCCATGGAATCTCCTTCTCTAACTACCCTACCGACATTGCCCGCAGCTCACTCATCAGACCGTTCGCGATGCCTCCTAAAAAGCCTCCTATCGACACCACTGCCACAACCCCGGGTCACAACTGTAATAACTCCGAGGTCGGTCTCATGCTCGCAATTTTGCGACAGATCGACCGTCCCGCCATTGACATGGACGCCCTCGCCGAGGCCGTCGGTGCTGCCAGTGCCAACGCCGCTCGTACGCGCATCTCCACTGCCGCTTCGAAGCACGGTTGGTTTACCAACCCTGCCACAGCCACCGCAGGCAATGTCAGCAACCCTGTGACCCCTCGCGGCAAGAAGGCTATCGGCTCCAGCGGACGGAAAAAGAAGGCCCCAGCCAACGAGTCTGACGGCGAGGAATTCCAGACTCCCTCGAAGAAGCGTCTCAATACCAAGTCCAAGAGTGCTGTCAAGACAGAGGCTGACGGAGGAAACACTGCTCACGAGCTGCGCGGCGATGGTGAACAGAACGATGCTCCCAAGGAGGCCGATGGCGACGATGGGGTCTGAAAATTGGGATGGATTCAGATAATATTGCCGAGCCTTGGCTTGCTCATTGAATGGCGGAAACAATACCTTGGGAAGTTGGCCACAATCAACAATGTTGGTAGGTTAGACGCTTATTGGGACTGAATGGCAACAGACCTTGGGTTTTGAGAATATGGGCAGCAGAGCACTCGAGGTAGAGTGTGGACAAACACCTAGGTTATCATGACTGGTCCAGTTTCGAATGAACATATTTGACATCATAACTCTCTTCGTAGCGAAATGGGCGAAAGTATCAGCTATGGTGGACTTGGACTATCTCATAAGCAATATTTCCAGCCCATCTCAGTCGTCTAGACATATTCCCATCCCGGCCATTCACCCCACGCAAGGCTCTGGTATTGTGTTGATATGGAATACTCCCTGCTACCTTAACTTCGGTTACTTATGGGCCATCCACTCTGTCAGTGTCCGATCCTCTATTTCATTAGCCTGAGAGCTCGAATAAGCCGAACAGAGGACTTTCCACGGGCCCATACTCTACCCATGTGAGGACAGAGTCAGCCCCATTAATTTGACAATCAGTGATATGGCCAAAAATGCATGTAATCTTATCTTCGGCGGTAGGTTGTTGGCCCAAAGCTTGGTAGGACCTCGAGGTGCTTCAATTAGCATTATTGGAGGGAACAGGCAAAGTCACTCTTGATTCGGAACTTACATCCATCAGAGGTCATAATGAAGTAGAGAAAGTGTTAATATGGGCCAAAATGCCAGTAGTGCAGGTAATCACAACCATGCGGCGGCCTGAAGACTGTTTGCACACACAATAGTATCACGCGGTTTTTATCAGAATAGTGGAAGGTCTACTCACACAGCAATCCAACGGGTCCCAAGCAACAGCCAGCATCTCAGACTCTCGCTCACGTTAAATCTCAGGCTCAGGCACGCAAAACGTAAAATGAATAAAAAAGACTGTTTAGAAGCAAGTCGATAGAGAGGCTTTCGTCAAGGTTGACTCATAATACCAATTTAAGGAGTTTAAATTTTTAATCCGCTCTCTTGGAGTTTGAGGCCAATGCATGAGAAGAAGTTTCCGGTAACATCGAATCAACTTGTTGGTAGAGCTGAATGAACCCAAAGTGACTTTCACCGATTGACACTGTCTTCTCTCTTCAGTCTTCACGTTGCCTCCTTATGGGTTGGTCACGAAGGAACGACTTTTGCTCTACCGTTCCAGTTGCAGATTCACAGTCATGCCTAGGTTGTAGCTTAGAACACCTAATATGTAGCAATGTTGATATTACTACTATAGACGAGTTCTTTGATTCAAAATCATCTTCACGAACATGGCGTGTTGGCATATTGATGTAACATTGTGTCTGAGTAAAATGCACAGAGTACTAATGAGATCGATTATAGTCTCACATTAGACCCCATCAATGGGTTCTTCGAAAGGAAAGAGAGACCCTAAGTGACAGACTCGTCCCCGCAATTATGATCTCACTCTCTCATTCATCTTACAATCGAACCCGTCTCCCCTTCAGACCAACACCATCCCGCCTCTTAACAACCGCCTCAGCCCCTCGCCATGGCGACCTTGAGCGCCCTCATCCTCGAACCCGCGACGCTCGAAGACGTTCCCGCCCTCACAGAGGTCTGGTTCGCCGCCTTCGCGCACGATCCGGAGATCACCCGCCTGTGGCCCGACACGCCCCGCGTGCGCGCGTGGTGGGACAACGCCAACCGCGGCGACATGCTCGGCAATCCCTTCCAGTAGTTCGTCAAGGTCGTCGACCCAGGCGCCGTCGACGCCCACGGCAGGTCAAGGGTCGCGGCCTGGGCCAAATGGGACACGTCAATGCCGGCGCGGCGGGGGCGCCGGTACCCGCCCTGGTGCGAGGACATGCCGGCGGAGGTGTGCGACGCGTTCTTTGACAAGGAGGAGAGGGAGAGGGTGCGAGTCATGGGGGACGAAGAACATTATTGTGAGCTGCCCTCCATCTAAAGGAGGCGTGTGCTCCGGTTCAGGTCGTTTGCTAATAGGACGGAGGGAGCAGATTTGGACACACTGGTGACGCACCCTGATTACCAGCGGCGAGGCGCCGGGTCGATGCTACTAAAGTGGGGGTGTGAGCTCGCGGACGAGAACGGGTTCGGGGCGTACGTTGATGCGAGCAAGGCCGGCAAGGGGCTGTATGAGAGGTTTGGGTTTGTGGACAAGAGCGAAGCTGATGCGGGCGAGGTTGCGTCAATGGTGAGGCGGAGGCGCTCTTGAGGTCACAGCTTCCCGATACAACATGAGGACGAAGGGACTCTATCATGAGCTGGAGAAAAGGTAACGGCCGGCGGCGATGGGTGGGCTCCAGGAGAATCATCATTACGGCCTGGTAAAACACTTCAAGAGAAATCGATATCATGCGCCGAGTGCAAGGCTCATGCGTTCTACGACGTTCCAAGTCATGTGTTTTACTTCGGCCGGCGTGGGTGGCTTGATTAAGGTCACATCTCGCAACCATGGCTTACACATCTTTTACTCGATTCAACGTTAGCAGTCGATCGTCATGACTTTGGACCTGGGTCAAGGCACTCTGTATGGTTCGTCACCTATCTATTGTAAAGAGACGTTTACACGTGTGGCTGGCTGAAGTGACTAACCTATCGTTCTAATGACTTCCCACGTCTTCTCCTAAGGCGTTCTGTAGGCTAGTAATATTTTATGTGCCCTTCATATAGTTGATCTCCTTGAGGATTTCGCTCTTAAGGAGGCCAACCGGACTACAATTGCTTGTGCTTACATTTTTCTACGCTATGAATTGCTCCCTGTTCTATCGGGGGTTTACACTGCTTCGCTTGCTCTCTTCACGTTCTCACTGCCAGCTAATGTTAGAATACAAGAAGTAGGCAGTAGCTCTAAGATTATGCTATATCTAATAAATACAAATTAAAAAGCAGTAGTCAACTTTTATTAGCTTTATTTAGAGGGGGTTTCGAGTAATTTCTTGGGTCCCTTAACAGAAGAAAGAATTCTTTAAATATTACAAAGGGAGCCTTCCGTAAGAGGTCATAATTCTTTGTATTCGTTTAACAAGAGTATTTCTACATCTTTAGTCTCTATGAGCCATAGTAACCGCCAGCTTCCGCTACGTAGGAAGGCTTATATCCGACTACCCACGCTGGAGATATTTTTTCATCATTTTTAAAGCGCTTCCCAGGCGCTCTTCTCATAATCGATCTCCTCTTCAAGATCGAATTCCCATCCCTGGTCGTGGATGGGGTCGTCAACGCACACCTGGTCCATGAGCAGGTCTAGCTTCGTCATCTCGTCCAGTGCCTGGAGATCTATATCTTTTGCCATATTCTCCTCGTGCTGGGCCTGACAGGCAGCAGAGGGCATGTCTCGCAAAGGTCGATAGCGAGTGACCTTGAGCGATTTGCGGCGGAACATCTTTTGGTTCTCTTGTTGCTCCCACTCAACCTTGGCTAAAAGGGGCTGTGACGGGTTACCCTCAAAGTGAAGCTCGGATCGGTAGAGGCCGAGATCGAGATATTGTGGCCCCTGGATTACGCCAATGGTAGGGTCTCGGTGCCGAAGCAGCTGGCCCCTTGCTAATAGCATTCTTCCTCTTTCAACCCCCGTATGAGGCTCTGAGGCCGAATTGGGAGCTGGAGGCTCCTCGTGCTCAATGACAGGTATCGGACGACGGACTGGGTGGGCGTCTCGCGGTCTTACACCAGGTGGGGTTGGTGGCATGATGTACTTCGCAGGTGGCTCGTCCTTCTCGTTCAGTGATAGTAGCATTACCCTTCCAGTTGCATCCCCGATAGCCAGTCTCGAGAAGCAGGGTGAGAAAGCACCGCATGATATGGCACCAGGAGCCTCTAGGAGATCTCGAACAAGAGGCTGCCGCAGGTTTCGCACATTCCAGACCTTAACCACACCATCTGATCCACCAGTGTAGAAGCGGTCCGGCGTAGTCCCCCATGCGGTGAACTTGACACCAACGTCTGCCTCTTCCCGGTCACCAGAAAACTCGTCGATGGGCTTCTTATGCCGAAGGACATGGATCGGTTTATCACCGCGGGCGGTATCCCAAACGTAGACCTTGCCATCGGTGCAAGCAGCCGTCACATAGGAGTAGATAACGCTGTTGGGCTTTATGGTAAGCTCGTTGATGTCTCGGGCCGGACAGTCCAGGCATTGGATCTCGCCAAATGCTGTATCTCCCTCAGGAGTCTGGCTAGGTCGGAAAACTCGAACCTGCGTCATCGCGTGGTCATCCACCATCAATCCAGCTGGCGAGGTTGCCACAAGGAAGCTGGGCAATGTAGGGTGCCAAACGACCTCGAAAACGTTCTGTGTGGATGCCGTCAAAACCTTGATTTTATCGCCAGTCAGGCAATTCCAGAGACAGATCTCTCCAGTGTTCCTCTTGCCGTCGGGTATGTCGTTATCATCTCCGGTCAAGCTTCGTGGGGAATAGCCGACAAGAAGCAAATGCTGCACTTCCTGCGCCAAGCCCCATTGCATTGTTGCCGGAAAATAAGCCCATTTTTGCGTTCCCGTCGTCTGTTCATTGCCTTCATTCCAGGCTCTGGAGCCGGAATAGGTCTGGTATGGGCTTGTAGAGATGCTGTTGCTGTCAACATTGTAAACACGCACGGCATGGGAGGCAACATCCGCAGCGGTGGCCACCATACAGCACTCGTGCTTGGAAACGGCTACAAAGTTGACGTTGCCTTGGTGAGCCCAGGTGCCCAGTACAGTCATGTTCCCTCCCGTTTTGTCGACTCTCCAGACCTTGACTGTCTTATCGAAACTGGATGTGTAGGCACGATCGTTGATTTGGTCATAGTCAGAAGATACGACCGAAGAGTACAGCCAAGGGCTCTGGCTCTCCCTCATCGCCTCTGTTGAGTTCTCTCCCTTCTCAACAATCGGGCGCGGAATCCTGTGATCGGGATGGGCCTTCAGCTGTCCCCTTGTAGTAGAGCATAACAGCAGGTTGCCTGCCTTGTTGTACTGTTGGTTGTGCGAATCGGAATGGGCTGTGGCGCCGCAGATAAAGTTGGTGTCCGAGGTCCAGACGATGGTCATAATGTCACCGGCGCAGCCCACCCATTCAGCCCGCATCTCCAGATCGTCCTCATGAGCCTTCCTAAACTCGTTCGAGAAGTTGACCTGCCGTCGCATTCTTCCAAAACCTCGGTGGCCATCAATTTCACGAGCGAGCAGAAGCGAGGGTATCTGGCTCGTGCGCTGCCCTTCGCCCTGCTTATCAGACTCATCCAGCTCAAGTGTCAGCACTTTTGGCTGCCTGGATGGTCTCTTTTGCCTGTCAAGTAACTCGTCCAGCAGATTCCTAATCGCCACTCGGTCTCGCTGTGCTAAGGCTCCCTGCAACTCAAGCTCCGGCGGTATGGCAGTGAGCAGCTCTGGCTTCTTGCGAAGCAGTCTCCCCAGTTCTCTGATTGTGTCGCTGCTCCTATTGGCCCTGGCCTTTTTACCACAGTCTTCCCGGATCCTTCTCCGCAACGCCTCCATCTCATCGGGCGTGAAGTCAACATGGAAAGGGAGTGGACCAAGCGCCGCCGCCGTCGCACTCGTGCGGACAAGCTTGGATGTGCCGCGAAAGATCCTATTTCGCTCTTCGGTAGTGATGTATGGCCGCCTTGGCATGTTCATCCATGCGATTTTGGCCCTGCGGCTTGCCGTGGTCGGCGCCGGTTGGGATGTGTGAGTCTTCCATGACTTGAATGACTTCGCTCGCGCTTTTGTTCGGTAATTCGTCGACGAGACAGGAGGGCCCGGTAAGTCCTGAGCATGGGGCCGCGGCTTGGTCTGGGATGCACTCGCAGGGTGTGTCGAGGATTTCAGTGGAGTCGAAAGTCTTCGCGAAGGAGTTACTGGCGTGCATTTTGAAGGTGAAGGGTTCGGGATCGCGTGGGCTGTGGTAGAGACCGAGGGTGCTCTTGGAGAGGGCGATGCTGGGGTGCCCGCCGGCCCTCCAAGGACAGGTTTCTGGGAAATTCAGTGTCAGCTCGCGCCTGCCGCGTATGCTTTTCTATGATGCATCCTTACGAGACGCCCATAATAGTGAGCTACTAGGTCGCGTGCCTTGTCCGCCAGTTCCCTCTCGAGGGCTAGCGAAAGGAAGCCGCCATTGTGGGTGAACTCGAGCGAGAACTGCGGTGTGCTGCCGATATCGTTTATGACCTGTGGCCATGGCGTTAGAAATCGTAACACAAGGCCTGGAGTTTTCGGAGGCCCTGCAGGGTCAATTCTACTTGCTCTTGTACCAATCTCGTAAGCGTTGGCCTTATCCACTGGAATCTCCGCCAGGGCAGCGTCGATGTAGGGCTTGACCTGTGCCTTCAGACAGGCTGCGAGGTCGCGCGATTTGCTTGGAAGGAAAGGGCCGTCAGAAACGCGCTGCCGCTTGCGGGGCGGCTCGCTGTTGACAGCAGTTGGTCGTGGGCTCGATGGAGGAGAATCGTCAAGCGTCGTCAAGTCAATACTGACAGGATGCTCGTCGCTGGTGAGGTCAATCACCGTCTTCGGGGGGTTCGTGGGCTTTCGAGGGCTGCCGTTGAAGGCGAGCATCTTGGAGAGGAGCCCGCAGACGCGTCCGAGTTGGCAAAAGTTTGGGCGCGTGAATGAGTCGCCAGCGCGTAAATTGTCAAATGGATCAAATTTAGAGAAGCTATAACAATAACCAGGCATAGGTAGGTGTTAGGCAGAAAGGAATATAAAAAAGTGGATCTGGTACATACCAAAATAAAATACCCCTGTTAGGTAACTTACTATAACGCTCACCCTCTCCTTATTTCAGTAGCAGGCATTACAATACTGTTTACTAGCCTAGCTGGCTGGACTGTGTGGCGATATTACATAAGTGGGGTATTTTATCTATCTCTGCCACATTGTACCTTCTACAGGGGTTTAGCACTATATTAGATGAGAAATGAGCTATTTATGTATATATCAGGGTTTAAGTATCATGTCAAGAACTTTATAAAGCTATCTTTCTATTAGCTAAAACTTTTATTTAATATACTATTCTATTGTTATTTTAGTAAAGAAACTCTTCTTCATAGTTTTAAAATAATTTATATAAAATATAGCTTGTTTTTAGTTTCTATCTTTCTTAGAAAACAGACTGTTCTTACCTTAGTATCCAACATCGTCTTCAACATAAAAGGCGTTTACGTCTTTGTATTTCAATTCAATAACTTCAAAGTCGATCAGAGCATTGGCCGTTGACATAGAGCAATGATGCTTGTCGTATCCTCTCGAGCCTTATCGTGGAGAACTCCATATACCGCTCATAGAGCGGCAGTAACAAAGCATACACACATACATCGTAATGCAACTAAAATAAACTTTGTTCAACCCCCCCCCCCCCCCCGGGCATTAAGCTTAATTAGTGGCGTGACATCGTGTCAACAATATGCTCAGCTGTCACGCGTCGTCATGCCTGAAGCTCGACAGCCAGACGCGTCGACCGAGGTCGACGGTCGTCGTCTCAGCACGCAGACCTCGGATCAGCTTGTAAACGCCAGTTGTAACCCCCAAGTGCATTATGCAAGTTCCCATAGAATAGATAGGAAGCTCGAGCGTCCACGGAGCACTAACCATTATACTACTTAGATACTTAGGTACCTAGGGAAGTAAGACATTTATGGTGCTACCGGTGGGCTGGCCTTCGCCCGTGGCCTCCCGGGCCAGAGTTAGGCATCGATCTCCGGCCGGGCGCTAGCGCTTGCATATTGGAGTTATCGACCAAGCTCAACATTCTAGTAATACAGTATATAGTTTAAGTTCACCCACATTCATTACTTGCATTAACAGCATGCTCAAATTACATTAGAAGAAGGACATGCTATTTAATTTACATCTGTAACAAGTGCTTTGTTTTTATAGCTGAATTGAGATGTGATCAACCACGTGGCAGGCTTAGTGAGGAGGTTTAATAGTATTCTTTCAAGACACATGCGATTTGAACCCTATAAAGCCAGTAGATCAAGTCATATGGTACAGTACACATAGCCCGCACATGAGACAACATTAGCCAACACCAACCCATAGTAGGGCCCTTTTAGAGCTTGGGCTTGGCCGAAGGCGCGTCGTTGACCTCCTCGTACATCTTATCGATCTGCTCACGGAATGCCTTGGCAGCCTGCGGTCTCTTCATTTTAAGACTGTTCCCACACTGTTAGCAAATGTACATAAAAGGCTGCGCTGTTTCCACGTACGTAGGCGTCAATAGCTCATTGTCGACAGTGAAAGGATCAATCGTCAGGTAGACATTGCGCACGCGCTCGTAGCTGTTGAACTTGTGGCTTCGGCCGATCTTGTCGAGCTCCGCAAGGAAAGCCTTCTTGACTTTGGGGTCAGCGCCAGCAGCCTTGATCGCTGCGAGGTCGGTCATATCGATTTTCTTCTTCAAGACCTTGCTGGCGAACGGCGCAAAGTGCTCGGGATCGACGCCGAAGATGGCGACAAGGCACGACTGGGCCGGGTCGCCATGGACGTAGGCCATGGCCGCCAGATTGGTGCTACCAAGGTAGACGTTCTCGATGCGCTCTGGAGATATGTACTCTCCTTGAGAGAGCTTGAGCACGTTCTTCTTTCGGTCGATGATCTTGAAGCGACCCATATTGTCGACCTCGCCAATATCTCCCGTGTGGAACCAGCCGTCGGCATCGAAGGCCTTGTTTGTCTCCTCCTCATTTTTGTAGTACTCCTGGAAGATGTTAGGGCCACGAAGAAGGATCTCACCACGCGGGTACGGCTTGTCGGTAACATGGTAGTCGAAGTCGGGAACGGACTCCAGACAAATCTCGTTGCAGGGGGCGGGCGGTCCGATATTGCCCAAGCTAAAATCGCCCCTCAGCTGGACGGTCGAGACGGCGTAGGTCTCCGTCAGGCCATAGCCCTGGACAAAGTGATTGCCAAAGGCGGCTCGGAGGAACTCGTGCACGTCGGGATCCAGCTGAGCGCTACCACTCACCATGCTGTGGGCCTTCTTGAGACCGACAGCGGCACGAACCTTGGGAGTCCAGATTCTGTCATACAGAAAGTGGGAGTTGCTCGCCTTGCCCACAGGCAACTTCATGTTTGCCTTCTTGGTGCTGATAACCTGGCGGGACAGGGATCCCTTGATACCGTCGGCGTCGATGGTGGCGGCCCGGATGGCCGAATTAAAGCGGTTGAACAACCGTGGGACGGACATGAGACCTGTTGGCTCGAGAATCTTCATGTCGTCGACCAGTCCAACGATATCACCACGGAAGAAGCCAACAGCAGCACCCTCGGCCAAGGCGCATTGGTCGACCATTCTCCCGTAAATGTGAGCCAAAGGCAGATAGGAGATATGAACGTCCTTGTAAGTGACTGTCCCGGACGATCTCGCGGCTGCAATGCCGGAAACGGCATTGCCGTGAGTCAGAACAACACCCTTGGGCATTCCTGTCGTCCCCGAGGTGTAGTTGATTGTAACGCAGTCGGTCGAACGTGGGGGACGCATGGGGCGGGCAGACTTGAGGCCAAGCTCCTCGATGCCGGCCATGGAGTGGATCTGAATGCCATGTTGGGCAGCGATACCATTCAGGACAGACAGCTTAGAGTAGCCGTCAGGCTCGCCAGCGTCCAAGGGGTCGAGGGAAATAATGACTTTGAGAGAGGGGAGTCTCGGCGAAAGCTTCAGCAGAACGGGGATGTGCGGCAAGGACGTAATGACGCAAGTCAGGTTGGCGTGGTTAATGATGTACTCAGTCGTATCGGGGCCGAGGGTCTCGTACAGGGAGACGGTAAAGAGGGACTGGGACGCAGCGCCGAGATCTGGCCGCAATCCAAGTTAGCATGCGCTCTTGACAGGGGCGGAACGGCAAACGTACCAGCGATGTGCCATTCGGGACGGTTCTGGGACCACAGGCCAACGCCGTAGTGGTCGCTGGTGATGCCAATCTTCTGGTGGACTTCTACGAGCCCGGCACCAAAGTTCTTACGGCGCTCGGCAACCTCGGCATACGTCTGCCAGGTGTACTTGTTGTCCCATTCCTTGGTGGCAGCGTTCCAAGCTCGGTGACCCAGGCACCTCGCGCTGGGGCGCTTCTTGGCAGCATCTTCGAACAGGTCGTGGACGGTCTGGGTAGCGGAATCAAATGTGGACAGCAGAGGACCGTCGCGGAAGCGCCAATGACGGTAAATTGCGCTGCGACCCTCCTTCTCAGAACCGGGGACTGGCAGGCCGTAAGGGGAACCTGGAGGCGGCGGGGTGGCCAGCTCCTGTATGTATGCGGCGATGTCTTTTGAGGGAGCCATATCCGAGACCGGCAGTGGACTTTAGTGAGGGTGTTTATTGGCGGCCGGGAATGCAGAGGATTATTCGCTTGTTTGCTGACGCCGATCTACTGAGATGCCGCGGCCGATGCGTTGGAGGGGGAGTGGCAGCGCAAAGGGACGCTGTTGCGAAAGATTAGATGGACCCTGGAAACCCAAGAAATGGATGTATGGAGGATATCCTGGGATGGGGGGGAAAGTAGATGATGAGGGTGTAGAGGTCGGAACGAAAAAAAAGAAAATAGAAGAATCAAAAGGTTGAGAGGGGGAGGGAGAGGCTTTCTTGTTCAAGAATTGGTAGTCGGAGACTCGGACTACATTCAGGTAGGTAGACAAACACCAAGGAGCTGGAGAACCGAATATCCCCGTAAAAGACGTAAATGGGGGGAATGGGGGGGGGGGATCCAATGAGCGAGGCCGTGAGGAGCATGGACCGAGGCACAGCTGTGCAGAGCGACCAAGGTTCCACCAAAGGTCCTCGGTAACCCCAGATGGAGACATCGCTACAGTGATTTGGGGAGACCTGATAGGCTGTGGTAGGTCCTAACCTGCTTGTCAAGGGGCGTTGAATGCAGTGGCTTGCGGGGAGTGCTGGGGAGGCTAGCAGCGGAGGAAAGGGGGGCTGAAAGCTGAGGGTTTCTGGGTCGGAGATTCTAAAGAATGGGGAAAGCTGCCCCGTGGACCGCCGTCCATGACCTCACTGCGAAGTGCCCACGTGGAGGGCGTTGCGTGCATGCACATTAGCTTACTGTTGAGACTCTGGCAGTATGGGAGGAGTTACTGTCGAGACTCTGACAATATGAGACGGCTCCAGCTGCGACACTCGACGCTGAACAAGATTTTACATGTGAGTTATGGATTTCGACATTATCGATAACTGACCGGTGACTTCTTGTACATAGATGCAATATCATCACGGCTTGGAGCGACCTATCACACCATCCTCGGAGACGGATGTACATAAGAGAGGTATTCGTGATGGCTAGTAGGCAAACGGGGCTATTCGTTAATCAAATATACCCTCGACAGGGCACATCCCAGCCAGACAGACCACCGCTGAGTACCTAGGTGGTGGATGTACCGGTATGTACTGTAGGTACTGTGTAGGCAAGGCCAAATGCGAATAGGACGGTGCTCGACTTCCTTGTTCGAAGCGGAAACCCTGACAATTCCCATGTCCATCCTTGTCGTTGGTTTTCCTCAGTGAAGGTTCTGTTCTATGTGCTCACTGAGGGGCGTTGACTTGCTTACGTTAGGCATGTTGTCGATTAAACGATACACTGACTAACCATGTGGCAGACGGTGGAAGCTGTCTCACATGCCAGATGTTGGAGGCTCACGTCCGGGCGCAGAGCTTCTGTCTCGCCCCGGGCGGGGGTTATTGGACACCGTAACGCGGAATGGACCGAAGAAGCCACCTGCTACGGGCCCGCCCTGACGCCTGTTTGCTAAGGAAGAGTGTCTACAATGAGTACACATTGCGATAGCAGTAAAGTCAGCAGCGCTTACTAACACTGGATTGATCACGGATCTGCACTCCTTCTTTCTATAGGCGGTTTGCAAGAGACTTTTTCTTGGCCTGTAAATAACTCAAGGCTCTATCTCATTTGGGGCTCATCCTGTCAGACTCCATGTTGGTGGCTTGGATCTGATTACACCGGTAGAAGAGCTGACTGAGCGTCATTAGCTACCTTGGCCTATTTCCAACTCTTGGAGGCTGGGATTTGCGTTCATCCAGAGGAAAGACATGGATAGCTCGGCCCAGAAGATGAGATATCCCCAAGTGCGACAAGCAGGCCGGTATATCAAGATGGTTCGAAAGCTGGGCGACGCAGCTTATTGATGTAGCGGGTGGCCGAGTTACTATAGTTGGCCGATGGAGTTCCCCGCTTGACCGGTGATTTTTAGGCTTCTTGTACAACCGGGCGACAAGTTATTGACAGATCCTAACTGTATGTAGGCCACGACAGCTTTGACGGACCCAATGTGATAAGTAGACGGTGAGACAGGAAACGGCGATGGTGGAACGGAACAAACACAAAACAAGCGTCTGTGTCTTGAGTCGCGTCTGATCAGGAAGTACGCCGGGCACGACTCTGCGTGCGCAGGCATAAAAAAGGGCCCTGGGATGACTCGTGAGGGCTTTTCGGGATGACCTAGCCTAGGCCAGTTGTTCATTTTCCAGCATGTCGTCTCAAGAGAACCGGACACTCAGGAGAGTCGGGCCGCCTTGGCCCAAAAAAAACAACAAGAATACCAGAGGGGAACGCTGCTTATTAGCAAAAAGCGCGGCCAGAAAAGCGTCGACGGGCTGGCGTCGCTTCGAGTTCTTTTTTCGATCGGAAGGGCAGGCCCGGGATGACAGACCTGCCGAAGCTTTTTCGTTTCTTCGCGTATAATATTATGTCCCTAGGCAGACAGCGAGGTTGAAACGAGGCGGCAACTGAGGCGACATGAGATGCTACGGAATCAATGTCAGATCTTCTCCCGGGTGGGGAAATATAACCATCTTTCGGGTTTGCGAGAATAAGGAACACCATCTCAATCTGTATGGGACGGCCCCGACTCGATCTCTCTGTCCATATGCCTGTCTCTCTCCGTGCGTCTGATGCAGGCATCATGGCCGCCGTTGCATGAGAAGGCAGCGGCAAGACGAGGATTTCAGAATCGACCCCCCCCAGCGCTTCGTCGAGGTTCCACGGAAGACAGTAACGGGTCTAGTTCCGGTGGTGGCCAAGACCTTCTCGTGCGCCCGATCAGAGATGCCAATATTACTATCCGTATGTATGGGGGAATCGACGTCAGGGGTGGCCGGCCGATGGGCAGAAAGCTTGAAAAGGGGCATGAGATGCCCAGGAGTCCCAAGCCTTTCTGACAAGACGTCTTGGCGAGGCGAAGCTTTTGGCAGAGTAGTAGTCCCGAAGGTAGCCAAGCCGGCAACGAGGACCGCTGTTGCAGCGAGCAGAGTGGTGAAACACACAGACGGATGGGGGAGGGAGGCCTGCATCTACACCTACCTACTACCACGTACTCTACGCTACGACCTTGGGATGGAGGTATGTGTCAGCAGGGCGGGAAGGAGACCAGGCAGGCCGAGGTGAAGGGTCTACCGAAGGAGACGTCTTGGCAACTTGGCACCTCAAGTATCGGACTGAGTCTGGGAGTCGGTTGTGCGGCGTCTCACAGCTTTTTTAAGAACAGCCAACAGGAAGTGGACGGACGGCGGCGGCCCCCAGTTTTCTTGCGAGGGTACGGCGCGTTGCGATTCAAAGAAACCATGGGAGCTTGGAGGTTCCTCTCCAGCCGCGCATGCGCGTCGCCTTGCCAAAGCTGTTTCGAGTGTCCCGCGAGGAAACTCGGGCTCTCTCTCTTTTTGTCGAGGAGGCAACAATGGGCCATTCGCCCTTCTAGTGTAACCTGAGCGAGGAATTGTATCAACCTCTATCTCTCTCTCTCTCTCTTCTGCTGGTCCTATTCTTGGCTTGGCGTATCCACCCTGGTGGCCCAAGGCGAGACGCGACAAGGTTTGATAGCTACACTGACCCCACTTGAACTAGTATTACTCGGATACGAATACTACCTACCTGGGTAGCAGCCCACAACCTGCCCGCCGAAGCGTGAATCGAAACATCGGGCGTTCGGACACTTCTCTTGTTCTTCCCACCATCTCCTGCCCACCATGCCGGTACTACATCGTACATTGCAGTCCGTACCACATATAGGTAGGCGTTCGCTTTCTTGGTCTCTGGTCCCCCCTAATCACCTTCTCCCGCGCTATTCCATGTTCAGTGTGTTCCACGCAACCGCAACCCGCTCAGTTGTCGCGGCTTGCCCTCTTTGCTGCTACGTTTTGCCTCTTGTCACTACTCGTTTTGTTTCAACGCCCACAACACGAGATTGCGCAGGGGCTCTCGTCTTCGTTGCCGTAGTCGTTGTCGCCGTTGTCGAAAATGCAGCCTTGGCGTCCGAGGGCAAATGATGCTTGGCATCTCAAGACTCGCTGTTCTCCGGTCTCAAACCCTCAGAGCCCATTTGCGAACCTCGCTTGTCGCCCCGTTCTGTCATCTCGCCGTGTGTCTCGGTCTGAAGATCCCCGCTTCGGCCCTTCGCCCCAAATCTTTCCAAACCTAGCCCACACACCTCTCTCTCTCGTGTAAAGACGATTGAGGCGAGCACGTGCCGGTACTTTCGGCAGCTACTGGCAGCAAGCAGGTGCAATGCAACCTAGGTTAATCCGGGCCCCCGAATCGGTTCGCCCAATATCGCCGTTCCTGCATGTCTGAACGCATGAGGAAGCATACATACAATGACTCTTCATATCCATCCGTCCTCCGCCTTTCTGCATACCGCCAGGTATTCGTATGCTCTGATCGTACCCGGTAGGTAAGGAACCTTACGTGTGAGTGAGTGAGTGTGTGTGTGTATGACTGTGCCTCTTACTCGCCTGCATTGTAAGAGAAATAAAAGAAAATAATAAATCGCCGCGCGCTTGCGCCGTGTCGCTGATTCACCCCGGTCGGCTATAGTACTGAGCCTTGTCGTCCAACAAATGCGGGCATCTTGCCGATTAGAAAACCCCCCGTTCCTACCCTTCCATGTGAGCCTGCCACGAGGCCAATCAGCACTCTCTCTCTCTCGCAAAAGCCTCCAGGAAACCAACAGGGCCCATCCCCGATACCATTCTGGCTGCGCGTAACCTACCAACGCCAAGCCTTGGTCCCGCATGAAAAGGAGGCTCTATCGATGTCGACCGCTAGGATTGGCTCAACAGGCCTTGCTCCACACCATCTTTTCCCCATCTGGATGGCGCGCATGGCGACTGCCCCAGGGAGACCCGTTTCAGATGCATTTCAGAGGTATCAGGCCGTGCATTCCACAGACAGACCCTTGGAGGGCGAGCGCCCAGTGATGGGCCAAATGCCATGACCTATCCGTACATGTTCCGCCTCTCAAACACTCGGACAGGGACACATCGAGAAGATGGGACTGCCCGTCCATACAAAAGCATCCATGATTTCCCCTCCTTCATGCTTGCGTTGCCCTTTTCTTGGTCCTTCTCCCGCCTGACCGTTTCCACCTGTTCTCTCTCTTGTCATCCTTCATTCTTCACTTCTTCAAACAGCGCACTGGGGGCCAGCTTATATTTATATTTATCCTACTACTATTCTTTATTTCACTTCCGATTCTCCTGTTCCTTCCTACCTTGACGAAGCCTTTACGAGTCTGTCAAAACGAAACGATAACGAAAACCGCCGACAAGATGGGTCTTATGCTTCCTCTCCGAATCGTCCAGGGTGTTCTGGCGTTGGTGATCCTCGGTCTCTCGGCCTTTGGTACGTGATAGGAAACCTGCTATAGGAAGCCGGTCTACCACGGTGGCTGGCTTTCGTGGTGGAAACTTGATCATGAACTGACTGCGGCGTGCTTTGCAGTCGCCAACTGGTACAACATGGATACCATGACGTCGTCCCCGTCTCAGATTAACTTCCTGATCTTTACCCCCCTCTTTTCTTTCATCTCCATCGCCTACCTCGAGGTGGTCCCCAAGTTTGCTCCCAGAGGTGAGTCTTCCTTTTCCTGGCTTTGGAAAGAGAGTGAGATTGTGGACGGTTGACTGACTAAACATAGCATCCCACCCCTGGGCCGCCGTTGGCTTCGAGGCGCTCAACGTACTTTTCTACTTCTCCGGTTTCATCGCCCTCGCCGTCTTCCTCAGCAAGCTCCTCTTCTGCCGCGGCTCCGTATGCGGTGCTGCCCGCGCCGACACTGTCTTCGCGGCATTCCAGTTCGTCCTCTGGTCGGGAACCACCCTGCTCATGGCCAAGGACGTTTTCAAGACGGGGTTCCGCAAGCCCACCGCCGGTGGCCCCCCTCCTCAGATGAAAGAGTCCGCGTAATCACCCACGCTGACTCCTTCAAGTCCTTCCACGCCACTCTCGAGGAGCGACGGCGGGGGGCTTCTGTCGAGCTTATCCGGACCAAGCGGATGCCATCCTGGGACCGCAAGAACGACCGAAAGAAACTATGGGAAATCGATGAGATGCGCATCCATAGCCCGAGCTTTAGTGACGTGAACCTTGTCTAGATGACTGGTTCACAACGAAATCTAGGAGCGAAAATAGGGGGGTCCAATAGGTGGAGCCCTCTCTGTAGTAGGGCGGTTATGTTGTATATTGGCCTGTCACATGGTTGACACAGGATTATTAGGAATTACGTGTTGTTTGAATACGATTGGGCTTTGGGTTGGTTGCTTGCTTCAACAGGACTTAGATGCCATCCGTATTATTACTGTTCTGCAGGCCCCCGCTCTGTAGTCTTTTTGCCCTCAATCTCTTGGTCCTTGGTCCATTCCAATCTTTGGCGTGTTAGTCAGTATCGGCTTGTGTGTGAGGTTTGTCGGACGACCGACCGACCGTCTTAATGCTTTTGGCAACCAGAAGCCGAGTTGTTTGTTTCTGCAACGCTTGTCCAAATAATTCTACAAACTCACTCCAGGCAACCCCCACGATGCCTTCTCCAAGGACTCTGCGCTAAATGCGGGAATCGACTTCTGATGCTTCAAGATGTACAGTCGCGGCGCAGCCTGCAGTGGCGCCAAGCTCACGGTGGCAGCGGGAGCGCCAGTGACCAACCAATTACTGCAGGTGTCTCATTTGGCCACTTTTTTGGTTTCGTTCTTACTTAGGGCTGAAATGATCAAGTCTGCGGACTACTCGAATAGTTCTCGAATCGCAACCACTCCGCGGAGATGACAGATATGCACGTCCTACGAACCCCTGCAACGTCAATCTGTCGAGCGATGCTGTCAGCATGGTAACGTCTGGCCGCAAAAGAGGCCACAGCTGAGACAGTGACGATTCTCCTCAACCCGATATTGCGAAACGAGCGAAAACGCTGCTGGATTGTAACGGCGATGACCGAGAACGCCGTCACGTCAATTATACAGTGGGGTGGATCTGTGCGCTTCACATCGAGCTGGCTGCAAGTCGTGCCATTCTCGATCGCCAACACAGAGATCTGTTCAAGATAGCCAACGACCCCAACGAATACGTCCTAGGCGACATCGGCAGGCACAACGTCGTCATGGCGTGCTTACCCTTGAGCCAGTATGGCACGAATAACGCGGCAATCGTGGCAAGCAACATGCGTTCGAGCCTCCCATCGATCCGCGTGGGGTTGATGGTCGGCATCGGCGGCGGGGTCCCTGGCGACGGCTTTGACATCCGGCTAGGCGACGTTGTGGTCGGCACCACGGTGATACAGTACGACTTGGGCAAGATCTTACCGGGCGAGCGTGTTCAGCGGACTGCAATACCAAAGGTGGCCCCGCATGATCTTTTGAACGCTGTCTCGAAGTTGCGTGCATTGCACGAGTCCATGCCCAGTGGGGTGCCTTCGATACTTGAAGAGATGTTCCATCAGCGGCAACGGCAGCAGCCTACACGAAAGAGCTACTCTCCACCATGGCTCCGAGCATGGTCGAGGCAATGCTGGCCGCTGACGTGCGGGAACCAACAACATGTAAAAGTGAGTATATCATTAGGTCCGACCAACAGGCGGGGCTGATACCTTCGCAGTGCAACAGGAACTACAAGATCGCAGAGCGCACTTGTTGGAGCTGCTGAGATTTGAACAACTCGACTCGCGGCATACGTCCATCAAAGCCGCGCATAGGAAAACGTGCGAATGGCTACCCAACCACGAAGCTTACAGGGATTGGCTTGATCCGCCAAAGCTATCGCAACATTGTGGTTTCCTGTGGATCAGCGGGAAGCCTGGCACTGGAAAGTCGACCCGGATGAAACTTACTTTTAGTAAGACGAAGAAATCTCTAATGGCAGGCAAAGCTACTGCTTCTTTCTTTTTCCACGCTCGAGGCGACGAGCTGGAAAAAACAATACTCGGTCTGGTATACCGGTCTTTGCTACTGCAGCTCCTCGAAAGTTTTCGCGACTTGCAGACCGTCCTCGATGATCTGAGCCTCATCCCGTTGGACCAGACAGTATGCCCGGCAGTCGAGACCCTCAAAAGGCCCTTTCGTAACGCCATCTTGTCCCTTGGCCAGCGCTCTCTGACTTGTTTTGTCGACGCTCTTGATGAGTGCAGCGAGGACCAGGTTGAAGATATGGTCAGGTACTTTGAGGATCTAGGAGACGACGCCCACGAAAACCATATCAAACTACGGATGTGTTTCTCCAGTGGCCATTATCCTCACATAAAAGTCAATAATGGTCTCAAGATGACTGTTGAGGACCAGTTAGGCCGCAACGAAGACTTGGACAGATACGTCCGGAGCTACCTTAGAAGGGTAGATTCCGAGAATTTCACCAAGAAGATCCAAGACCAAATCCTGAAGAATGCTGATGGTGTCTTTATCTGGGTCGTTCTGGTTCTGGATATCCTCGACAAGGAAATACGAGATGGCCGTCTGTTTACGATTGAGAACCGACTACAACAGATCCCTAGCAAGCTGAGTGAGCTTTTCAAAGATATCTTACTGCGGGACAACAACACAACAACAACATGGATGACCTCCTGCTGTGTATCCAGGGGATGCTGTTTGCAAAACGACCACTGAGACGCAGAGAATTCTACTTTGCTGTCCATTTCGACCGTTTTCCTTAACCTTCCTTATGCGTGTCGTATTGAGGTGTTCGATTTCATCTCGAAAGACCTCTCAGCTAAGGTAAGGGAGGAACTTTATCGAAGCAAGATATATACAGAAGACCTTCAGACCACTCTGCCTCAATCCGTGGCAGAAGTTAGCAATGAAGAGGGCATAGCGGAATGGTTGAGAAGTGGCGAGTATTTCTTGGAAGCGTGCGGGGATATGGAACCAGATCATTCGACACCATGGTTTAACGATCACGAGATCGAGGACATCGAGGACTTGAACTGGTTACTGCATTGGGAACCATCTGAGACACAGTAGACCTGTATGTATAGAGGTACTAAGTTGTTCCTGTAGAGTACCTGGTCTGGTCAGAATAGGGCTTGAGCGGACGGTGGCTTGATGAACTCTGCGATATTTACATCATTACGTGCCTATGGGATCTGTGTGACAGTAGTAGAACAAGTTTCTGCACCGCTTCTTCACCGTCAGATATTCTCTTTGATGGTACTGTTGTCAGCTAGACGAAACTGGAGGATACCAATGAAACACACAAGTAGGTATGATAACCTTCGTCTAGTCAGGTAGATGTCAGAAACGCAATAGCGCAGCAACGAAACTAAATCAAGCGGACAGAAGGGTGTCAAAAGAGCTCAGCGCCTATTACGACATCTTTTACTCGGTTGGCCGAGTTGCCGCTGTACACATGGGCGGAGAAACAAGTACCTGAATAACTTGTTAGTTTGGTGTACTTGTCCGAATATGTGAACAATGAAGGAAACATCCGAGGAACAACTCCTATACCGACCAAGCAATCTTTCAAGCTCCAGACGTGCCTGAAGCTGATCACTTTTGCAATTTTCACCTTGGGCCACTGAGCCCAGATCGTACAAGTTCCCCACTCTCAAGATCGAGCGACAGCCGCTGCGGGACACGGGCTGCTGCTTTGTCCACAGTTCATGTCTCCCGACCGACGACCGCTGCGGCATCGCAGCCGTAGGGCGCGGTGGAAATTATCGGACCAACTGTCGAAGCCCGATCCCGTTGTCGACATGGCATTTCGCGTCCCAAAACTACGCCGGATGTCCAGCCACCAACAAACAATCAGATGGCGACCCTGATATCCCCTACAGCAGGCCTTCCTCACATAGGAAGGCAAGCGGCAAGCATTCCGAGATCAAGCTGCCTCTGTAAGGAACAAAGACCCTCCAGGCACTCAGTATTCTTGTTTATAACCGGCGGAGCACCAGGCCGAGCCAAACACACGGGTAGGGGTTGAGAACGTGTGTGTCATGTTCCCCAATGGCGCTAACAGGACACCCTTGCTCTGCCCCGCAAAGTGACATTTCAACGTCGATTGCGTGCTCTGGCCAAACCCCACATCATATGCCTGAATCGGCGCTCTCTTCGCGCACCCAGCAACACCACCAAACCTACGTTAGATTCATCTCGCTGCCATGCTAGAGCAGACCAAGCCATTGGGACCCTCGCCCCACTACCGGTATTGGACCCCCCGTCTGTCATGAGCGAGCTAAGGGCAGATGGAGGGGTTCTTACAAGGGGTGTCTCCCAATGGGGAAGGGATACATGAATTATTACCAGCACATCGCTGGACCCATTTGTCAAAGGAAGAAGGACGATGCAATCATATGGAAAGGTCGTTCGATGGTGTCATCTCCCCTCAATGGCATCATCGTAGCTGGTCCGAATCCTCCCCGTCTTTCTGCTGCCCCTCTTCGTCTGATTGTGCCTCTGCTCTTCGTCTGACTGCGCCTCCGGTTACCGGCCCTCATTGGTCTTTAAGCGCGTCGATCTGCTCTTACCGTCACACGCTCCCAGAAGGAAGCTTTTCCCTTTTCCCCTTTTCCCCTTTTCCCTCCCCGGCTGTCCTTCCTTCGCCGAGAAACTTTTTCTCACCTGCCTCTCCGCATTGATACCCATTCATCTCTCCCTGCCACAGCGAACCAGAAAGTCACAATGGCCGAAGAACTGAGCAAGAACTTTGAGACGCTACAGCTCCATGCGGGGTACGTTCACACATCACTCAACCCAAACAGGTCTTCGTGGGGGGGGGGGGGGGGTCTTGAGCTTTGAAGCCGTCGAGACTGACAAGACTTGCGTGACGCAGCCAGGAGCCCGACCCAGCCACCAACTCGCGCGCTGTTCCCATCTACGCCACCACGGTTCGTGATGTTCAGCGCGTTTTGAGCAGAAAGGGAGGCAGTAACTGACAGCAGCTCCCAACATGTAGAGTTTCACCTTCAATGACTCGGCCCACGGCGCAAGGCTCTTCGGCCTCAAGGAGTTTGGTAACATCTACAGCCGTATTATGAACGTATATGCCTCTCGTCCCAATCCTGTTCTGCATGTGTAACAAGAAAGCAAGGACGCCCGTTGACACACCTCTCTGTAGCCCACGGTCGACGTCTTTGAGAAGCGCATCGCCGCGCTCGAGGGCGGTGTGGCTGCGCTGGCCACCTCGTCCGGCCAGGCCGCCCAATTCATCGCTATTAGTGCCCTTGCCCATGCCGGTGACAATATTGTCTCGACCTCGCTGCTGTACGGCGGTACCTACAACCAGTTCAAGGTGTTCCTGCCGCGCCTCGGCATCACCACCAAGTTCGTCGACGGCGACCGCGTCGAGGACATTGCCAACGCCATCGACGACAAGACCAAGGCCGTCTACGTCGAGAGCATAGGCAACCCCAAGTATAACGTGCCCGACCTCGAGGCCATCGCCAAGGTCGCCCACGAGAAGGGCGTTCCCGTCATTGTGAGTAGCGGCCTGCCCTGCTTGTTGCGTGTATTCAAGTGAGGGAGAGAGAGGTAGAGAGTGGGTGACTAACACGCCGTCCGCAGGTTGATAACACCTTTGGCGCCGGCGGCTACTTCATCCGCCCGATCGAGCACGGCGCCGACATCGTCGTTCACTCGGCGACCAAGTGGATCGGTGGCCACGGCACCACCATCGGCGGCGTCATCGTCGATAGCGGTAAGTTCAAGTGGGACAACGGCCGCTTCCCGCAGATGACGGAGCCCAGCGACGGCTACCATGGCCTCAAATTCTGGGAGACGTTCGGCCCCATCACCTTCATCATCCGCGCGCGCGTCGAGATCCTACGCGACCTCGGCGCCTCGCTGAACCCCTTCGCCGCCCAGCAGCTCATCATCGGCATCGAGACGCTCTCCCTCCGCGCCGAGCGCCACGCGCAGAACGCCCTCGCCCTCGCCAAGTGGCTCGAGGCCAGCGACTACGTCAGCTGGGTCTCGTACCCCGGCCTCGAGAGCCACCCGTACCACGAAACGGCCAAGAAGTACCTCAAGCGCGGTTTCGGCGGCGTCCTCAGCTTCGGCGTTAAGGGCGGCGGCGCCGCCGGCAGCCAGATCGTCGACGGCTTCAAGCTCATCTCCAACCTCGCTAACGTTGGCGACTCCAAGACCTTGGCCATCCAGTGAGTGGAATCCCGGAAACGTTTGCTCTTTCTCTCTCTGTCTTTCTCCCTTGTGGGCGGTGTACGTTGCTAACACTGACAGCCCCTGGTCCACGACCCACGAGCAGCTGTCCGACGAGGAGAAGAAGAGCTCCGGTGTCAGCGAGGTAAGCCCTCTCATCCCCCATCTCCTCGAAAGAGAAACATATCGCAACACCTGGGCCTGTGACTGACAAGGTACCCCACAACAGGATCTCATCCGTATTTCGGTCGGTACGGAACACATTGACGATATCATCGCCGACTTTGAGCAGTCCTTCAAGAACGCCGCTTCCGCCAAGACCAACGGCAAGGCCGCCTCCGCGGCGGAGACCAAGCAGGAGGATGCGCCGCTGGCGCCGTAAGTTAGACTAGACGAGACAATGAGGGAAAAGCGACCACACTTGCTTTACGCTCTGCCCGGACCTGGTTGGATACCCCCTTGAGTACCTTTCTGGTAAAAGCACAGCGTGCGCGCGCACGTGTTTTTGTATATGCATCTGGATTGGGGATTTTTTTTTTCTTGTATGAGAGAACGAATACCCGTAGGAAAAGCAACGTTGATCTGTCTTTCGAATCGTATATTACTGAAAATTATCGGGACGGAAGTGGCGGAGGAGCAACAAGTGAATATCGCTTCGCATCCCTTGCCATTCCTCGTGTAATGTGATGTATCGATCGAAACCATGGCGATCCAGGGCAACTGCTTGAAACAAGCTTCTTTAGGCCCGCCCGCTGTCGCCATACCAGCGTCCCCTCACACCAACATCAGAGTGCGAGCAGGGAAGCAAGGCAAGGTAAGAAATGTGATGCCCCCGAGCCCCTCCCTCCTGATCTTCCCGATGAGATTGGCGATCGGCTGCCTGTGGCAACTCACGAGGCACGTGGAGAAATGAAAACGTGCCGACGCCACAACTTCCTAGTGGGCGGTTAGTGGTGGTTTGATCACTGCGAGCCGCCGCACGCTCTCAAAAACGTGCTAGAGCTTGTGGTGCAAACAAGTTCGTTATTCAGCGTCGCACCGGGACCGCTGTTGCTAGCTTGGAACTTGACAGCTCTGGAATGGGGTTTGGTGGGCAGGGAGGGGCGACGAGGGCCGCTCCCCGGTGCGCGGCAGATGACAATAATCCGCCCGCCGGAGCTGATTGGTCGGCAACGGGCCCCAACGCCAGAAGCATACTTGCATGTTGCACCAACCTGTGCGGCCGTTACTCTCACCAGATCCAAGCTCCATCCCACGCCGCCATTCATCTATACCTCCATATCCACCATAAATCGAACCCTCTTCGGTCCGAGCTTCCTCTACCCTCCCCTTCTCACCCCCTTTCATCCCCCCGTATCTTACTCGAACATTGGTATTTGAATCTTCGAACCTGCTCCCGGGTAATCCCACCGAAACCGAACCGTAGACTTCGAAATCCTATAACCGCAGACAGACCATCACCGAGAGCGATGCGCCTCCTCGCGTCCCTCACCGCTCTTGCGGCCTGTACCGCGTCCTCCCTCGCCCTCGCAGCCTCCATCACTCTCTCGGTGCCCTCGTCCCCGGCCCTGCCGAATCCCTACACCCTCCCGCCCTCGACGCGCGCGACCCTCTCGGCCCTGGGCGCCTCCTTCTCCGCCCCGCTGTCGGTCAAGAACACCTTCGTCTTTACCAACGTCACCGCGCCCGGGTCGTACTTGGTTGACGTCCACTGCGTGACGCACGCCTTCGCTCCGTTGCGCCTAGACGTCGCCGCCGACGGCAGCCTGTCGGCGTGGGAGACGTACCGCGGCAACGACTGGGACAACCGCGGCGAGGTGTACACCTCCAAGGACTTTGAGGGCGGCGGCAAGGGCTTCGAATTGCGGGTCCTGGGCGGCAAGAACTACTTCATGGAGAGGAGCAAGTGTAGGTCTTCCCTTCAAACCCCCTTCCCTGACATTGTCGTGCTCAGTTTCGAGGGCTCAACGGCATTGTTACGAGATGCGTAGCACCGCTTGGGAAGCTCCCTAGCGTTGAGGAAAGAATGCTGACACTCGTGCGATGCAGTCTCGGTGTTCGCCATCCTCAAGAACCCGATGATCCTCCTCGGTCTCGTCAGTATGGGTATCTTCCTCGGCATGCCCTACCTCGTCGATAACAGTACGTTAACAAACCCCTCTCCCGCTTACCGCTCCTCTCTGCTCCACCTGCCAATTCTTCCCCGTCCCAAACCCCTGAACAGTTGTTGATATACTTCCTCGCAGTGGACCCCGAAATGCGCGCCGAGTTCGAGGAGCGCCAGAAGAGCAACCCCATGAACAGTATCCTCGGCAGCGGCGGTGATGCCGGTGCCAACCCTATGGGTAACTTCGACATGGCCGCCTTCCTGGCGGGCACCGGTAAGAAGGAAGAGTCGTCGGGTTCCGGCTCTTCAAACGGCGGCGGCGGCAGCGGCGGCGGAAAGAAGGAGAAGGGCGTGCGGAGGTGAGAAAGGGAGATGAGCTGCTGCGGGGTGTGATTCACGTAAGATTGAAACCAATAAAATGAAAGAGGGGCGGGCGTTACTGAACGTCGGACCGGACAGTACGGTACGTTACAATTCGCAGGAGCCGGCAAACGAGTGGCGCGCATATTCCCTATATTTATATTCAGACACATTTGATGGCCGACCGTGCCTCACTCACCACATGCCGCGTCTGTGACGTGCGTACTTGAAGGGCAGATCTGACGGCCCCCTTTCAAAGGTAACATTGCGGCAAAGCAGACCCCTCCATCTACGATGGCCTCGAGTTCGGGACTAATGCGCCACGATGAAAGTGCGCAACTTTCCTATATCTATATCCATATCCAGGCACCTTAATGGCCGACCGCAAGCTGTGTATCGGACCAGGGACAGGCAAGACCGATCGGGCTGTTGGATGAATCAATATGTATTCGCCAGAAGCTTCATAGTTACGACGGCGGATTCGGGAGGCCTTCAATGCCGGGTACAGCATATCGTAGATCGGTTTGCTAGCCTGGACCCCTATGCCCCGGACCGGGCTGGTTCCACAAGTACGGGCTCGTTTCATCGCCCTCGGAACGTAATTTACAATTCAGTTCCACACATGCGGCTATTCAGCCAATCTGCGAGACTATGTTATGGGACTAGGTGTCCGTTAACTATGGCTGCCTCTGATCCGGATGTACACCTTGATGAATAAACAGGGGGAGAGCAAGCTGGCGTGGGTGCACAACCCTCAGCGTTTCCACGAGACTTGCAAGGACAAGCATCTCCTTACTAGCGCCCACATGAAGCGTTTTTCTTGCGTTCCAAAGGCGGCACCGTCTAAGTATGAAGTTGCTTATGCAAAAGTACGCGCTGCGATTGCGACGTGTGTACTTAAAGGGCAGATTCGACGACTCCCTTTCAAAGGTCACTTTGCGGAGAAGAAACACCTCGTGAGGGCGTTTAAGATAGCAGAGAGTTCAAGACTAATACGCAACGATGAAAGAGGTCAAGTGTGGCCTGCTGTGTTTTCTACCATTTGTGGAAAGGGGGCAAAAAAAGGAGACGCATTATGGACAAGTTTCACACCACCTGCCCGCCCATTCCAAATCTTCAATTCATGGCCCGTTCGAGATGTTTCGTTTCAAGCGACACACCGGCTCGGCCCAACCTCGACTGCTTAGAAGTCGCCGCCAAAGTCGTCTCCACCGCCAAAGTCATCGCCGTCCTGGCCGTCATCTGTAGCACCATACCGTCAGTATCCGTGGGAGTCAAGGTCGGATAGTGGCAGCCTAAACTTACTGTAGCCGTCAGCGTACGCCTCCTGCTGCTCGTCGTTGACGTGGTCCGCGATCAGTGCGCCACCGAGCAGACCGGCACCGGCACCGAGCGCTAGTCCGCCCGCCATGCCCATGCCGCCGCCGCCGGGTTTCCGGCCGCCACCGCCCTGCATGCCGTAGCCCCCGGGTGGGCCGTAGCCCTGCTGCGGGGGATAGCCCCCGTAACCTTGTTGAGGAGGGTAGCCTCCGTAGCCCTGCTGGGGAGGGTAGCCCCCGTACTGCTGCTGAGGCGGGTAGCCGCCGTATCCCTGCTGGGGAGGATATCCGCCGTACTGCGGCTGCCCGTGGCTGCCCGAGCCACCCGTCTTAGCCTTGCCGAGCAGCTTGCCGAGGAAGCCGCCGCCGCCGCTCTTGCCCCTCGTATCCTGCGCGCGGGGCGGAAGCTGATTGGGGAAAGGACTCTGGGATTGCTGCTGCTGCTGTGGGTTGTAGCCAGGGGGCATCGGAGAGTGCGAGTTGGCGCCGCGGGCGCGGGCCTCCTCCTCGGCCTGGAGCTGGCGGGCGAGACGCTCGTCCTCACTCATGGCGTTGGAGCTGCTAGCGCCGTAGGGCTGGGGCGTTGAGGACTGGTTCTCGTAGGGGTTTTGCTTCTGGTCGTATGGGTTGACCTTTTGGTCTACGGGCGGCGTCGAGTCACCCGGGCGCGGGGCGTAGCCGGGGGGAGGACCGCCCGGGTGGGCGTCTGCCGCGGGCGGGGGTGGAGGCAAGGCGGGCTCGGTCGGCTTGTTCCATTGGGACTGCTTAGTGTGGAGGTTTACGTAGAACCTAAAAGCAGAGTCAGCGTCGAGATCCGCGATGACAGTAGACGGGAAGGCCACGAGAGCTCACCATTCTTTGTACTGGTCATTCCAGCGGGCAACCCAGCCGGGAGGGACCTCAGGGGCCTTGGGAGGCGGGGGGCCCGGCGGGGGAGCGAATTCGTCGGCCATATGTAGTGCTGTGAAATTGGAAACTGAGAGCGAAGAAAAAGATGCTGTCAACACTGGTTCACCGTCTGCACGCGCAGTGTCTTGATATAACGAGAACCGTCGAGTCGGGATTGACGCGGGGTTGATTACTGACTGTTATGGAGTTGCGTGAGTGAGATTGTTGGAGGAAAATCAGAGTTCCAAGCTTTCTGCAGCTACCCTTCCAGACCGTTTTCTGGGTAGTCAGGCACCTGAAATAAGGGACTGATGTTTGAAGGGGGGGCGGAGGGGATGGAGAAAGGCTGCCTCTTTACTCGGCGGGGAGTGTCAGGTGCTGTTGCAATTGGGGAGGCGCAATAGCGGTAGCGTTTATGGGGGGGCATGGGCATTTGGTAGGCAGACAGCCAGGATTACGTCTTTAAGTGTTAGACGTTTGCCTCTCCCTATCTAATACGTAGGTACTAAAGTACCTAGGTAGGTAGGTAGCTAAGCATAAGGTACAGGTGTCTACCCTATGGGGAACGGGCACGTCCCAATGGCATCCCGTCGTTTCCGCATCTCCCGCGATTTGTTCGCCCACAATGGGAAGTGAGGAGGAGGCAACGAGGCGGAGGCTGTCGCACGCGGGCGGTCGTCCCTTGCTGAGTGGATTAGATCGGTCAACAGTATTCAGCTGCCTCTTCGAGGGCGGAACAATATAATGGCAAATGGCAAATGACAAATGGCAAACCGCTCCCCATGTCATTATGGGTTTACGAAGTCCTGAATGAGGCAAGAGACGACGCGGAGAGAGAGAGAGGTGAGAAGAGTCAAAAGCTCTCCCTGTCGTATATAATCCCGCTTGCCGAGCACTGACCGGACCGAATCACCTCAGAATGCAGTCGGTTCGGTCCCCATTCGTCTTTTCTATAGCGCTTCTCGAAGCTGTGGTCTCCAACGTTGCCTATCTTCCCACTCCTGCTACCGCTGCAATACTGCCTCTTGGCTCCCAAGGCCACTGTGTACTTCCGCCGGCGCTGCAACGAGGGGGCCCGCCATTGATGCCAGCCGCAAAAAGCACAGCCCCTCTATTCTGATGCTTGTCTGATGTGATGAGTGTGTTTTGCCACTCAAACTCACTTACACATCAGCAACTCAACTCTCTTCCCCAGCGTCTCTCTGCTGCCTCGTCCCCTCCAGAGGCCCCCTTTTGCTTCGCTTCGTTCCGCTTGCAGCTAGCTCTAGCAGCTGTTTCTGTTTCTCTGAGACCCCGGATGCTGGAAATCCGACCTGAGAACGTGGGGCGGCGCATGAATGTCTCTCGACGGTACCTTTTCACAGAAGACATGGCAAGATGATACGCCAGGATAACACTTCGGCACCTCGGTCGATACCCTGCAGCGAACCCCTCCCCTTTCGACTGGAAACGTCTCGCTCGCACGAGCCAAAGCTCCACCAACGAGGGGGGACCCATAGGTTTGACCCCTCCCTCTCATAGAGTGCTTGCTTTTCATGCCTTTCCAATGAGATCATTTCTGAACCCTTTCTTTCCCGCCTGCTCTCTCGACTTACCCATGCCCGTACGCACAAGTGTTGTGACTGAAGCTTCGGTCTTACAGGCCACGTTCAGCAAAAACCTGCTTGGCTCAACAGGATCAGTGCTTGTCTAGGTATGATAAGCAACGGTGGCGATGTGCGTGCTTTCTTTGCGGGTCGACGCGCCGCGCGAGTCCAGGTGGCACCATCACCGCGTAATGCCCCCAATCCCCGTGTGGCGGTGCACATTGCCTTCGATATTTGTGCAGCTTCGCGCTGCTGCTGTACATGGTGTATGTACAAATACGATTATTCAAATCCCCGAACCGCGCCGCACTCCGCCCCTATACGCTGAGATGGACACTTGAACGCGAGCACATCGTGGCGCAGCCTTTCACCAGTAAATTCCACCACTCGCCCTCCAGAAAATTGTCAGACTTGGCACATGTGCCTATGCCGCTCGCTATGAGGTAGCAGACGACAACACTCCCATCTCAACGGTGAACCTGAAAGCTTTATTCAAAAAAGGCCCGTTCCCGGGCGTCTATCCCATCTCGGCGTGTAAAGCATGTGCTGCACAAGAAACTCCCGAAATCCTCAACGACCATACAATCTCTGTGTCTCCAAAAAGTACTGCAATCACTAAGGTATAAACATGTTTCCTCAAGGCAGGCCTCTGTCGTCCCGCCGTCTCTCACCAAAGAGGTAGGCCGCCTCCATGCAGTAAGCGCCCCCTCCGCTGGCCATCCGTCGCTCGCTGCCGTAGCAAATCACCACCGCATCCAAAATGCCGCTGAGAATACCCTCCATGGCGCCCATGACCGAAAACCCAATGAAACTGGCCACTATGCCAACTACATATGCGTACGCCGAGCCCCGTACCCCCATCCCGTCCGGCAGAGCGATTGAGAGCTGCTTCGCCGTCATGACCCATCCCGCAAACCCGAGCGCTGTAGCCATAATGAATCGCGTTGCGTACAAAAGCATCTTTGCGAGCCGGTAAGGAAGCAAAGGAGAGTGACTGGACCGCCGTGAGCTGAACACCTGCGGCGTCAGTGTCGTCGTCGGCCGCTGCGGCGAGAGAAAGTCCATCTGGCTGAGGCCACGGGCCGCCGTGTGCAAATTCTGCGAGTGAATTGCCCCATACGTAATGGTCAGGGGATTCATGAGCGCGGCGATGGGGGTCGGTATCCACATGGCGGCGATGTGCTGGAGGATGTTGGCCATCCTCCGGGGAAGCACGAGAAGAGGCGCCCTGATGAGCAATGCCAGAAGCGTCGACTCGCAGATGCTGCCAAAGATGGTCGTCGTCGCGTGGTTCAGCGCAGCGGTGACAATCTCCGCTGACGTCGGTGCTGGAGCCGCGTTGCGGTGGAAGTACCATTGTGACACCGTCGCCGCTGTCGTCGCTCGTTGCACTGCGTTGATGACGCCGATGGTCCACATGTACATAAGGACAAACCAGATTCCGAGCCACCAGCTGGACACGCTGATGATGAACCTGGCGAGCCTGCGCGAAAAGTAGCCTCCCAAGAAGATTCTCGAGAACATCCACATCCAGATCCAGGTCCAAGTTACTATCAGTGCCAGACAGCTGAAACCCAAGATGAGGAGCGCCGTATTCGCTGCGAGGATCCTTGTGGAGAACTCTAAGATCTCGATCGCCTGGCGGATAGCATGTCGGCCCTTGTAAGCCATGTATACCCAGACAACGGCAGATATAGCTGGAACAAGAGCAGCCCATCGCATGGCCCGGTCCTGAAAGCTAGTCCCATGCGACCGACCTTCGTAGCTGGAAATGAATGGGTACAGCGTGAACGAGAACATGATGATGGGGACTGCCACGAGAATCAGGAGCGCCAGCGGCCGGGCGAACGACCGAAGGGCCGCCAGCCAGACAAAAGACACAATAATCGAAATAAGAGTGTCGATGGCCAACATGTGGAAAGATGCTTGTAACGTCGTGTAGACTGTGTCGCCCCATCCCTTCTTAGGCGTGCCCGTGTGCAGCCAGACGAGCACGAACGTAGATACCAGGCCAGCCAACGCAATAAGGAAGATCCAAGCAAAGAAAGGGTCGTACTTGAATATTTCACCTTCGGCCAGGGGGACCGTCGCAGGCAGAGCCTCGTCGTCGGAGCTCGCTCGCCGAGCCTCGTCAAAGTCGTCTTGTCGGGTGGCTTCCCTCCGCAGCGGGAACTTGCGATCTCCCGACTTTGGGTGGAACTTCTGGAAAGCGGGCGGGCTTGAGTCCGTATGCGTCTCGTTCAGTAACGACGCAGACGGATCGTCGTCGTCGTCCCGGATCTGAGAGTCCAGCCCGATATCGACCATTCTAGGGTTCGTATCCGAGCCCCGGTCGGAGCCCTCGCGTGGGATGTCCTCTGCCTCTTCGTCTATGGCGTCCCTCCCGCGGTTGCGTCCACCAAAACTCCTTGTGCCGTTCCAGCTGCTACGGATACCCCTCCGCAGACCGCGGTCTTGATACCTGCGTCCAGGGCCCTCATTGCTATGCTCTAGTGAGCCACGGCTAGCGTCCGGTTCCGTCTCAGAGCTCTCTGCCATCTTGCTCGCGGCGGCCACGCGCCGTGACATGTGGAGGGCGGCCATATCCGCCGCCTCGCGGTCCCTCTCGTCCTCGTCGTCTTCCTCCATGTACTCGTCAAGTGTACTGTGAAAAAGCGGTGCATCCTGGGCGGTGGAGATCCGGGAAGCGAAGCCCATCTGCCCGAAACGTGAGCCAGCCGCCTGGTATGGGTTTCCTCCGTAACCTCTGCCTAGAAAGGACCGTCCGCCATTCCGTGAAGGTCGTGATGACCAGTCGTTGGGTTGTCGTGATGGGTTCTCGTTGCTTTCGACTTGGCCTGCGAAGTTGGAGATTCGGGATTGCGACTGCGCCAGGAACCTGGACGCATCTGGGGGAACGGGTTTGTCAGTCGACCGCCGGTTGGCGTCGCCTAAGCTTTTGGCAGTGACATGACAATAGACTTACATTCCGAGAACATGGTGCTATCGATAGTGAGGACCTCGTCCCCTCAAAAGAAAATTGGCGTGCTCTTTCGGGGTCGACGAGGAACGCGGGAAGGTGGGTATAGATAAAGTCGGCGGCCTATGTAAGGCGTGTGAATGACGATAACGGACAAAGAGTAAACGGGTGGAATGTTTGGGTGCCGGCGGCGGTGGACACTACTAGTGTATACGCAAACAGGAAGCAAGACGAGACTGGCGGGTGGGGGGGGGGGCTCAAAACAACTTCTGCGATGAGATTCTTGAAGCGGGTAAAATGTCAGTCACCCTTGAGTGGAATAGACACTTTCAGGTCAAGGCCGGGGTGCTCGTGAGAAGGGCATCTGCACCAAGATGTCGGAAAGAAGATGAATCGGAGGTCATGGGGTACAGCCCGGATGAAGAGGTGAAGGTGCCTAGGTAGGCAGGCGAACGAGTGGACCAGCGAGGGAAGTGGTTGTGGCGGCACGGGTTCGGGGTACATGGGTAACCCGCCATCTGCTGGGCGCACTGGGATGGAGGCTTGTTAGGCAGCGCGGGCGCTGCAGCCTCGGCCTGAACAGCGACATAGCACACAGTTAGGCAGCCTGGGGCGCACGACACTGACACTTCCCGCAATCAGCAGCAACTACCTAGGACCCTTTCCCATCCCTCCACCACCACCCCGGGTACCTCCCTCGCTAACAGACCAGCCACCCAAAACGTCAGTAGTGTACCCGGTGAGGCAGGGACATGGTGGTAGGTAGCCACCCACCACCCATGGCAGCTGCCGGCACTCATCCCGACTTTAAGTGGGCGATAAGGCGGTAAGTTGTTGTGATGCATTGCAGCATTGAGGGCCCGGATTACTTTACCGTACCAGATGGGCATGGCCGTGGGTGCTGTTGGCCGACTCCTTTCTAGGTTCGCCTCGAAGCGGACTCTGGGAAGCGTTACTCGTGCAGTATCCGGATAACGTCCATAAAAGACCACCTTATAGGAATATGCAGGAAACCCATGGGCATCCCCTGGGCAAAGGAAACGTGAAAGGCTTCTGCTCGAGAGGGCATGCCTCACGGTCACCTCTCTGGCACCTGTAATTCCCACGAACCCACGTACTTGATACGTTCCTCCTATCTGCGCTGCAAATCTCCCTCACTTTGCTTCATGGCACTGACATGTCCCAGCGTGAGACACCAGCGACCGCTTTAGTCCGGTCCAACCTCCCGAGTCATTCAGTCGTTAGTCGCTAGACTCGGAGGTCAAGTCAGTTGGTCATCTCCAGGTCGTCGTCAACTGACTACCTACCCTGGCTCCCATTGGGGGCGTTCGTCCTCCCTTCGCCTGCTTCCACCATAGGTGGCTCGCCTCTGCTTATCACCTCAGCACTTGCGTCACTGATAACACCGATGGCCCCCAACCCTGCCCGCCTTTTTCCCTGGTCAGCGGTCCAATCTTAACTGGGGCTCTGGCCGTCTTCTGGGCCTTGCCCGTGACAGGGGAGACCATCTTTAACATTGACCAGCGGGATACACTTCGCCGTTTCCTACAAACGTATTGGATCCCACCTACGTTGAACTGTACGTCGCAGAAGCTTAACGTACAGACGAGGTCATCGATTTTGATTTTGATTTTTTCCTCTTGGAATAGTACTGCAGAGCCGCAGACAGACTGGACAGCCTTCTCTCTCAACCGTTGTCTTAGGTGGCCACGGGAACATCCCATTGAGAACAGACGACATCTTCGCAGTAACAACATTCCGTTCCCCCCTTCTTCCGAACACGTGCTCGGACAAACCACGGCAGCTGTTTGAAGCTCCTCAACATCAGACCAGCATCAACCACCTACCATAACCACATCGAAGACACGCTCACGCCCTCTCCAGTCTCATCTTCTCGAACCCTCCATCAGCGAAGCGAAGCCCTGCCTTACAGGCTAGCCGAAAACAACAACAACAACAGGAGAATTCAGCGCTTCATCCTCTCGGGAAGAAGGGAAGAAAAAAAAAGAAGGACCACAGACCTTCATCTCTCTCTCTCACCCCCTTTCCCCCAACCCACGAACCCATCCCGCTTAAGGGTCATGTCGTCTCCACCATGGGACTACATTGCTAAACTCGTCTGCATTGGCGACTCAGGCTGCGGCAAGTCCAGCCTCACCATCCGCCTCTGCGAGGGCCGCTTCTCTCCTCATCACGATGTTACCATCGGCGTCGAGTTCGGCTCCCGCATCGTCCCTGTTGGCCCCCCCAACGCCCTCCCTCCCGCCCATGCTACCCCAGCGTCGTCCGCCGCCCAGAAGACCAAGGAAGATGGCACAGCCTCGTCCAACGGTCTCCCCGAGCCTCCACGCCTCCCTGAACCGGTGGCCGCCGATGGGCCCCAGAAGCACATGAAGCTCTCCCTCTGGGACACGGCAGGGCAGGAGACGTACAAATCCGTCACGCGCTCCTACTTCCGCGGCGCTAGCGGGGCCCTCCTCGTCTTCGACCTTAGCCGCAAGCAGACCTTCCAGCACGTCACCGACTGGCTCAACGACCTCCGCCAGATCGCCGAGCCCGACATCGTCGTCATTCTCGTCGGCAACAAGGCTGACCTCACTCAGGATGAGAATAACAAGCGCGAGGTCACCAAGGAGGAGGCCCAGGAATGGGCGAAGAGGAATGGCGTCTTCGAGTACGTCGAGACGAGCGCCAAGAGCGGCGAGAACGTCGAAAAGGCCTTCATGAGGGTTGCTGAGAGGATATATAACAACATCCAGGCCGGCAAGTATGACCTCAATGACCGGAGGTCGGGTGTCAAGGGGCCCGGCGCCGGAGGGGGTAAGCAGATCAAGGTAGGGAGCGACGCACACAAGGGATCCGGCGGTGGCTGTTGCTAGACGGGCTGCCGCACAGTGCACCAAAAAAAAAAAAAAAAAAAAAGCACACATACGAGAAGGATAGTGATACCCAAGGCTACCGGCAAGAGTCTTTAGCTCTTTCTCGTCTTTCAACCTTGTACTATTACTTTTAATCATAATTCATCGTCATAGTTGATTCAAGTCTCTGGGATTGGCAGATCAGAGCGCGTTGCAGAAACAAGCAAACAATGCACGTTGTATTATGCACGGAAGTATCATCCGCCAGCTGTCTCTCCCCTATCCCAAGCTCGAAACCAGCTGTTACCCCTTTTAATCGCCCATATTCTTACAATGAGCTGGGTGAGGAAAGTTGAGTCATGAATCCTCCAGCTCTCCCCAAGTACATGATTTACCAGAACAACCTGTTAATTACAAGTGATTGTATTAAGATTTCGTTCTGTGACTTAGTCCGAGATTCTCCAGCTGTCGAACCACTTCAGGTAGCTGTACTGCTTGTTGGGGCCCGTCATGCCGAAGCAGATGGGGCTGAAGAGGATGTAGAGCCCGATGATGGCCGCGTACAAAACACCGTAGACGGTGTATTGAACGATCTGGTTTTTGTTACGGAGGAACCAATCGGCCAAGAAACCAAAGGTAAGGATGGCGAAATAGAGAGCGGGGTAGTAGTGGTGGACATAGGTGACACGAGCCATGACGACGAAGGGAAGGTAGTGAAGAAACCAGCCTGCTACGGGGTACAGTCCCGCGTAGTGGATCTGATCAACCTCCTTCGTGTTCAAGTCGTTATAGCCACGCTGCCAGCGGACAACGTACCAGACGATGACGAGAGCAAAGATGCCAAGGCCGGCTGTGGAGCCCCAGTAGACAAGAGGGTTGCCGAGGAGGAAGTACTTGACAATGTTGTCATCCCAACCACACATGCGTAGACCGACATTCAGGATAGGCCACTGCCACCAATGAGATGCCAAGTCGTCCTGCTTGTCGGGATCGGGAACAAGAGCATTGTTGGATGTCATCATGGCGACGTTCAGATGAATAAAGTCATGGAGGAAGGGTGACTTGTAGGACCCAGGGTCGCCGGGGGGTACTGCATATCAGTTAGCAGCGGATTCAGAACGCCATTTCTATTCTGTTTCTACGCCGGCGACGACTTACGCTTGTCGTTGGTGTGGGCCTCAACATTCCAGTGCGTGTACGAGTCCTTGGGGTTGTTCTTCTTGGTACAGGTAACCTCAATCTGCTTGAAACCCCACTGAGGTAGGTTGACGTTTCCAGCGCGGAGATAGCAGCCGAGGACTGGGTGCTTCAAGCGGAAGGCGGTAGTAAGAGTGCGGATGCGGCTACGGTCACGAGAGGCAACATCGCGAACAACTTCGACCTGCCAGTGGTCCTTGTCATCACCAATGGTAAGGTTGCCGTAGCAAGAGACCTCCTTGTCGGCCTTGGTAATGGGAGCAGCAATCTCGTGGGAGTGGAGGTTACGTCCGGTCTGGGCGTGGATGAGGCGAATAGTACTACCATCAGCAATGAAGCGGGGCTCGGCCTCAGGATTATAGTCCTCGTCGTGGCGGTTGGGGTAGAAGAACCAGTCGTTGTTGGCATCCTTGTGGTGGTAGCAAGTGACCTGCTGTTGGGTAGAGCCCTCAGGATATGTTTGGATGTGAGAATGAAGCAGGCCGCCACCATATCCCATGTTCTTGATGGTGGCGCGCGAGCCGTAGGCGATCTCCAAGGGGCTGTTCTTGCCAACCTCGGTGCCCTTGAGGTTGGCCTGGAACAGGGAGCTCATTTGCGCGTCACCGGGACCAGTTTGGTCAAGGATGGCGAAATGAAGAGCGAAAGAGAGCATGTAAACCAGGAAGGGAACAACGATGAGGCCGACAACGCGGGTGACGACATGGGCACCCAGAGTAGTGACGGGCATCTTTGTGTCGCCAAACTTGTTCCAGAGATCCTCAATGGTGTAAAGGCCGACTAGGGAGGTTACAAAGAGACCAACGAGCTTGACACTGCACACGCAACCAATGCTAAGACCAGTCATGAAAAGCCAGAAGAACCATTCGGGCTCAAAGGCGTTGTGGCGCTGGTTGTGAAACTTGGCCCAGCAGAGAACAGTGGCGACGGTTCCGAAGAGTAGCATCGAGTCGAGAAGAATGAAGCGGCTGATGGTGGTATAGGAATTTTCGCAGAGAACCATCAAGGTAACGAGCCAGACGGCAGGGCGGCGCAGGTTCAGCTCGCGGGCGGTGAAGTATGCCATGGGAATGCAGAGAATGCCAAAGAGAGCGTTGAAGGCTCTCATGAAAGTGTAGTCGACGTCCTCTGGGTACTTCTCGCCAGACTTGAACTCGAAAGATCCGTTGTAACCGGCGAGAACGCCGGACAGACCGACGAGCATCTTGCCCAAGGGCGGGTGAACGTCGAAGTAGTATTCATGCTTGATGTAGTGGCTTCCAAACTTGCCAAAGTGGGCCTCGTCCCAGGTAACGATGTTGCTGAGACCGATTCTCCAGAGTCGCGTGAAAATGGCAACGGCCGTGAAGATGATGGGGGCGATGATAACCTCATACTGGTCGAGGAAGGAGGGGCCCTGGATAAAAAGAACCGTTTCGTCAGCATCACGCAATTCTGTGATGGATAGGTACCAGAAAAGGAAAGGACAGGTTTACCTTCTTGGCAAGCTTCTTCTTGTCATCGACCTCCGGAGCGGCCGTCAGGGGAACTGACTGGCCTTGTGGCACGGCACGGCGTCTGACGCCATCGCCGACGTCTGCTCCGGACGCGACAATTGGCTTTTCGACAGCCATGGCTGTTCGCCTGCAAGGTCAGCAAACGGAACGAACGGGGTGACGAAGAATGTTGAATGGAGAGAGGAGACTGACTGTCGGAACGGGATAGCCGAAGTCGCTGACGAACGCGGCTTAGAGAGTGTGTACGGGAAAGACGACGGATGGAGAGAGAAAGAGTCGAGCTCCAAGAACAGGGGCTCTGAGCTCTGTGTTAAGGACCGGACGAGTCAAAACTCAAAGTGTAAATCAATAAAAAGTTAGAGAAGAGGAAAAGGGGATACGTGGGAAGATGAACCACCGGAGGAAAGCCGCAAAACAAAAATCAGCGGGTTTCTTTCGAGGCGCTTGGTTTCTGCAAACCAAACCAGCTCATCAAGGTGGCTGGCTGCTGGGGCTCCTGAAGGTAGGTAAGCTGGGGAAGGGGAAAGGGAAAGCTGGAAAAAGAATCATGTAATTAATATGGAGGTGACGGGAGGGTGCCCTTGGGCAAGGTGGGATTTTCCCGTCTGCTAAATTGGGAGAGCTAGGTACCTGCCCCCTTGCGCAACACGAAATAAATGCCACCTATGCACCAACAGACGGGCTATCCCTTACGGACCAGACCACACTTAACGCGAATCAAGGGTACACCAAATAGCTGCCGACCCAGAAGCGCGTTGGGGGCCAATGTCATGATTCCATTGGCCCGGCCCCGAAGAGCTGGAGGTCATACCTGGTACTGGACGCGCATCTCCTCCCGATGGAATGCTCCCCTACCCCCACAACTGCATTCCCCTGAAGTCCTCTTGGGCCCCGTGGAAGCATCGCGGTCCATCGTCGGCGTGAGGCCCTAGCTGATGATATATCTCACCATCCTCCCTCTCCGGTTCTTGACTTCACTTTGTCTCCTCCACCCCTCAGGCTTGACATGAGCGTCGTTATCGGCGTCATAGCAACACCAAAGATGACACGACGCACCTAGTGCAATCCTGCAGCTACATTCATTGTTTTCCACGAGGTCGCTGCTAGTGTGTAGCCAGAGATCTGACGGGGCAAACACACAGGCCTGCAGCACAATGACAATGGCTTGTCTCTTCAAGTTGACAGCAGTTGGGGGCTCCCGAAGCAGCGAGCTCCGCATGCGCTAACCCCTTGCGGTCCGTATTGTGGACCCCCTGCCCTCGGAGCTAGCCGCCCATTCAGCTCCCATCGTAGGTATCGACACAAACATCATCGGCGAGGTGAAGTCCCATTTCGGGCATACGGCACATGGGCCGTGCTGTGTAAAGATTGGGTAGTTAGGAATCATATCGAAGCATTAACAGTCAAGCAACGCTAAATACCAACCTCCAATGTATTCACATCATTCAAAGGTGCTTTTTCTTCTTGTTTTTTAATCAGAAGGGGGTGGAGGGTGGTTTGATGTGACGAATAACCATGCAAGTATCCGTCGGTACCTGTCACGGGCCCAGCTTCCAGCCTAAGGAAGATGCCTGCTGAACTGGTTTACCAAAAGCCGTCTTTTTTTGTTTCTTTTTCAATCGGACAGAGACAAAAGGGGGTCGTGGCATCCAGTGTCTACCCGGACATCCATCTCACTCAGTTCAGCGACCCACTACGCAGGCAGCCCAATCCACCAGTGTCACCACCGTCTGGGCGCGGCCGCCGGCCAATTAGCCCCGCCGAGTCAAGCTTCGCTGAAGCCGCATGCGGGATCGCATCGCAACGACGGCGCATCACATGTCTTTTTCGACTTCCTGGCGTCCATTCCATGCCATTTCCCCTCCTGCTGGTCCCGGCCGGCTCCATGTACACACACCAGTAATCACAGGCACACCCAGACATTCGCTGATCACTCTCTCTCTCTCTCTCTCTCTCTCTCTCTCTCTCGCCGACGGTGCAGATTTCCAGGTCCCAGAGACTGTCCGACACCTGTGCAAGACCCAGACACGCCTCAGGTGTCTCTCATTCCCGTTCAGTTTTACCCCCACTGCCGCCGCCGCGCCCACTTGTCGACCGTCTCCGCTGACGCCGTCGCCGACAAAAGAGACCGGATTTCATTAGGGGTCTCGACCGTCTTATGTCATCGCTGCTGCATCCAATCGTCCGTTACCGTACCACCACCACTACAACCAACACCACCGCTCTCTACCAGTAACACTACCGATCCTTTCAAATATTATCCCCGCGACACCCCGACTAATCTTCGCCTCCCCTCCCTCCTCCGATCTTACTGCCCCGGATGTAGACTGAGTTTCACAACCGTGCGTCACTTTTCTACATAGCCCGCTCGGTTCCTCGACTCGCTTTCAAGAAGACTCCTCCCTCTCTCAATGTCTTCGCTGGTCTCTGACTTCATCATCAATCCGGTCCTCCGGCAGGCCCGCCGCTTTTCCGAGATCTCGAGAACCACCTTCGTCTCCGATCGGGACACTTCCCCTGACCCTATCGCTGTCACGACCGACTCCGACCCCTCGCTGACCCGGCATGCGACCGATGCGCCAATCCCATCGACTCCAACACGACCTCTCAGTGCTTCAACAACCGTTGACGACGAGCCGCCTCCACCCCCCACACCACATGCGCCAGTCGCGTCCTTCCCTGTAACCGTGCCGATGTCTCCTACGACCCAAGAGTCTCTGCCTGCCGACGATGGCATGGGCGCGCTGCGGAAGCGTCTCATCAGCATCCAGTCACAGGAGATTACGGCAGAAGAAAAGGCCCGGCTGATGCACGAGGCCTTGATGGAAGGGTACCGCAAGTCTCGAGACACCCCCCGTCAAGCCGATGTGCCACCTACCGCGATACTCGCAGGCGAGGCATGGGAGCAATCCATTCCTATCGCACCTCTCGAATCATTGAAGTTCTGGCAGCATTCGCCTGGAGAGCCGTCTTCACCGCAAAAGTTCGTCTTGACCGTTGACGACGTTCGGCCGACGTATGCTCCACCAAAGCTCTTCACGAGGGAAGAGCCCGAAGGTTCCCTCATACTCGGCTGTCAGCACTACCGGCGCAATGTCAAGCTTCAGTGCTCTACATGCAACAAGTGGTACACCTGCCGCTTCTGTCACGACGCCGTCGAAGATCACACTCTGGTCAGGAAGGAAACCAAGAATATGCTCTGCATGCTCTGTGCCTGCCCTCAGCGAGCATCAGATGTATGTGTCAACTGCGGGGAAATGTCAGCTCGTTACTACTGTAATGTGTGCAAGCTTTGGGACGACCATCCAACCAACAACATATATCACTGTAACGATTGCGGCATCTGCAGACGCGGAAGAGGTATTGGCAAAGACTTCTTCCATTGTAAGGTACGTGTCGTGACCCACATTGTTGATAACCCCACCCCTAACGGATATTCCCAGAAATGCTGTGCATGTATTTCGATATCTATACAACAATCCCACAAGTGTATCGAGCGCTCGACGGATTGCGACTGCCCCATTTGTGGGGAGTACATGTTCACTTCCCCCAAGCCTGTCGTGTTCATGGGATGTGGCCACAGCATCCACCAGAAGTGCTACGATGAGCATATGCTGCAATCGTACAAGTGTCCTATCTGTAACAAAAGTTTGCTTAACATGCAAAGCCAATTCCGTCAGTTGGAGCTGGCTATTCTGGCTCAGCCGATGCCCCCCGAATTCCGGGACACCAGGGCAACGGTCTTGTGCAACGACTGCAGCGGGAAAAGCTCAGTCCCATACCACTGGTTAGGTCTGAAATGTGCCATCTGTACGTCGTACAACACAGTCGAGCTTCAGATCAGCGGCGGAAGAGATGGAACACCCGCCACGCCGACAGTCGTCGCGCCAGAACCTAGCCCGGTTGCCGTCGAGGCTGCTGCTGCCTCGGCTCGAATGGACGTACCGCAAGTTGGCCGGCGAAGACACTCGTCTCATGCCGGCCCAGAGACGCGGCATTTAACGGTGGATCGTCTCGCTAGATCAGCTTCGCCGGCACCCCCAGTGTTGCCGCCGAACATGGCGGACAGCGCAATTGAGGAAGAAGAGGAGGAGTCAGAAAACGATATCCTCAATCTTTGGGGCCGAGGGCATCACGACTCTGACGATAGTGGGTCTATATCCACAGACATGGACGAGGAAGATTCCGATGGCGAGGATGATGACGATGATTATGAGAATGAGATTATGCTCATCGGACATCGATAGCCCCTGCGATGATGCATTCACGATCCGGGACAATAAGGTGGATCTGGTAGCGGGAATGTTATGAAGACCGGCGCAAGGGGCCTGGAGTGACCTCACGGTTTGGACATATGGGGGTTTATGGATCATTGCGAGCATATTCACGGTTAATCATCGGTTCAGTTGGCGTTATTAGGATAGCCAAGTTTTTCCAGTGTTGGAGGAGAATTTCGATTGTTGAAGCCCCTGGAGACTGGGTTATAAAAGTTTCTATAATGGATGAACCTGGAAAGTTGAACGTATCCAATGTCCCAAAACGCCTTGTATAGGTGATTCCTACCTATCCTGCCCTACCTTGCCCTGTCGTTACTTTCGTATCAAGACCTAGTACAGTGAAAGCAAATCCTTCATCTTCGTCGTGAGGCAATCTGTGCGTCTACCTCCTGGGACTCTTTTCTCAGTTCCTTCACAACGCTCTGCGGTGGCTCAGTCAGTCCTCCTGCTCAACTTTAACGACCAAGGCGAATGCTTTGCTTACAGCAAGAGCCTCGGGGTTGACGCCATTCTCAATCATGGAAATACATATCGAGAGAGTGCGGCGGTCCAAATGGCAGTTCTTTCACAAGGTCAGTGTCGGAACGAGTTGCGCAACGCATTAGGCGTCTTGGGAACTGACGAGAATGGTGGAGATCTCATGCAGGATGTCAACGGCTTGCTGAGCCGCGGCCTGCTTTCCGCTTCGGTCGTCGGCAGGCATTTCGTACGGATGGTTTTTATGATTCAGTTTTGGTGTCGCATTTGGTATTGTGTCAGAGGGGGGAATAGAGAGACAGTAGAGAGACACTGAGAAGCGATAGGCTGAAGGGATAGACAGAGATGAATGAGGTTCCATCGAGGTTAGTGGAAGCGGGGCCCAAGTTACATTAGACTCTTTTTGGCAAGGGAAAACGCGTCTGGCGCTGACGCGCTGGGTGAACAATGGTTGCAAAATGGCAGGGGTCGGTGGGCTAAAGTGGGCAACTGCCGGAAATGGGGGGTCCATTGTGAAGCCGCAACTGACCGAACTTTTTTGCTTTCTTGGATCTCTCACTCACTAAACCCCCCCCCCAGTTACTGTCTCACATTTGCTTTATCGTCATGACCTCGACTTTGCTGCGACTGCCGGCTCTTGTTTTTGACGACTCCCTTTCAGGATTCGCAACACCCGATTCTCGCTAGGCACCGACCCATCCGGCCTTCCACATGGTCCTCGGTTGCTCATAGTCCGTCCTGGCCGCTCACTCCACCCTTCGCATGATGAAGCACACGCCATCGTTCTCTCACGATATGCTCACTTTCTCACGGATATACTGCTTGGGCTTACGGGAAACGAACGGCTCTAATGGCTGACGAACGTGAAGAGAACACCCGCTTGTACGGCCCTCCGAAAATCACAATTGTACCTCATGAGGGCCAAGAGGATGGACCGCCGTTGTTGCACACAAGCCGTGTTCCGGGTCAAGGTGAGGCGGCTGCCCACACTCAGCTTCAGTGATACTGACATTTACTAGCCCAAGCAATACGCATCGTTCAGGCTCCGGAAACGCTCTATCCTGCCTCGAGGTCCGCAGAGATAGTGCCTTCTTCTACTGTTTGGGATTCCCAACGAGTGCAGCAACGATGGCTTCTCAACGCCCATCCACAAGCCTTTGTGGGCAGCCTGGCAGCCTCGAGCTTCTTGGCGGAAGGTCTCTCCAATCTTATGCGCCCAGACACCACGCCCACCGCTCAGCCGCTGTTAGCGATCACTCAGATGGCGGACGTCGCCAACCACACCCGGGTCGTGCCAGTCCCCGTGCTGGCCATGGCTGCCGGCGAATCCGGCGAGCTCCTGCGCCTTTCCAAGATGAGCGAGACGAAATGGCAATGGGGCGAAAATGCGAGTCCGACGCTACGGATGTTCAGCATCGACCAGCACGACAGAGAGGAGACGGTGTTGTGGTCAAGTGACGGAGCCCCAATCTTGCAGATCAAGGCTGCGCTGAGCTTGGTACGATTTGAGCCTACAAGATGGCTGCTGGTGCAGAAACGGACATCGACTACGATTCTCCAGCCGGAATACCACAATGTGCCAGTTTCAGAACGCCCGTCTGGGATCGACAAGGCTACGGAACGCCCATCCCGAATCAACCCAAAGCCTATCCTTGTCATTACCTCGGAACAGACTGGCGGTTTCGCACATTCTGATGTGTCATTCAGCTATGGGTCTCAGAAAAAGCCACCCCAACTGGCCATCGTGGACGAGTGTGGCTACTACAGTGTCTGGGACATCAAGGGCCGAGGCGTTGTGGGATCTGTCAGTATGCGGCCCAAACTCCGGCATTGCGGTCACATTCAGCTAGGCGTCACGGAGCAGCTCCCCGATGAAGACTCGCCGGCCTTCCGCGCAGAGCCTCACGGAGTGCTGTGGATTGGCCCATCGGGCCCCGGTGTTGATCTATGGGACGTGCCGACGGTTGAAGATCCTGATACGGGAAACGACCTAGCTGCCTTGACGGCGCGGTCCAAGAAGCTCTTGCTGTGGAATCGCACGAAGTTTGAGGTTGTTGATGTGAAGAACCCATCTTTCCGCAAGAGCTTGACGATTCTCAAGTCGGATGAACCAGACTACATCCTCGACGTGAAACCAAACCCAGTGAGCCGAAGCCAAGTATTCATACTCACAAGCTCGTGTCTATTTTGGATTGAGACGTCCTCCCCGGGGACAACCACCACTGAGCAGGGCGGTCTCACTGTTCTGCAATCCTTTGCGCACATGAGGGTTTCAGATGCCGACACCTTGAGGCTATCCGTACATCACGACGGCTATGGGTCAGGAGATGAGACGTGCGCACTGTATCTCTACTCCGAGAAGTCATCAGAAGTCGAAGTGTACTGGTTTTCCATCCCTGAAGCAACGAGGTTACCGCAATTTGAGCACCACGTGATGAGGCTCTATAGCAATCCGTCAAAGTTGCAAGCCATATGTCCTGTGCCAGCGTTCTTGAACAGCGCCTCATCCGCAGCCTCCAAGGGGCCAGGGGCAGATTACATGAACCGACAGGTCAAGTTTCAACAACTCTTTGTCCTCGGAAGAGACTTCAGCCTGAGTCGAAGCCTACTCGCTATCTCAGCAAGCCCAGTCCTCGCAGTCGTCCCGCCGGACAATAGTCACAAATGGTCAAAAGACGGACAGAGACAAGCGCATAACAAGAGGCGAAGGGAATTTTTGCAGCATTTTGAGGACAGCTTTGTGGTACCTGACGGTCTGGGAGATATGGATGAGTTGGTACAGCGTCGCACCAATCGGTACCAGGAGCTCATGGACATCGAGCTGGAAGGGGGTGGCCAGCAGATACATCAACGATGGCCTCGACCCCAGAACTTTGACCACTTCATGTCCCGTATCAGGGTCTCCATCGAATCGGTTATCATGGCGTCAGAGCACGCCAATACTGAGGGGCCATTGTCTGTCTTTGACGCCATCCAAGAGGCGGTCGTCAACTGTCTAGAGACCGAGGGCGGCTACATCCCATTACACACTTTGTGAGTTTAGTGACTCATATACGCAAGATGCAGAGACTGACTAATACCAGGCACGAGTATGAAACCACGTTTGAGGCACCGCCCCTAACCCGCGAGGCTGTTGCCGCGTGGGACTCTCGCTTCCAGGAACTACTGGACGCCCAAACCGAACGTATCATTGCTCGACCCATTACCAAGCAGCATCTTCGCCATGGCGAGACGGTCTCTCCATTGGCGGACATCCGCGACCAGCTCGAGGAGCTGTGGAGTCCGGCGGACCTCCCGGTGAGAGCACAACAATCACGCAATGTCGTCCTGGCCGAGACGGCCGAGGCTATTGCCCGATCCCTCTTCGGTGTTGCGATCCTTGACGCCAATCTTCCCACCCCAGAGGCCGGGCCTCCTAACTGGGTGCCTGAACCACCTCCCCAGCCAAGCAGCCAGCAGTCAAGCCAGCGCTTGAGCCAGCGGTTCTCGCTATCGCCGGCCAAACGAGGTCAACTATCGTCGAGTCAACGACTCTCGCTTTCGCCAACCAAGCTGAGCCAGCCACTCAGCCAACGAATCTCGCTCTCTCCCACCAAACGCGGCCAAGCTCTCGGCCAGCGTCTCTCCTTCTCGCCCACTAAGGGCACCCGCTCTCAGCCCCCCTACATCCCCTCCTCCTCGATTCCCTTCCCCTTCCCCTCGTCGGGCCCCTTGTCCCAATCCTCTGCCGCCTCACCTACCCCAACTCCACCCCCGCCATCCACCGCCATCCAGCGCCTCAGTATGCTCGCCGAAGACCTCAACACCGCGGACGCACCCGCCCGCCAACACCCGGTGCTCTCGTACTGGCCCACTACCCGCGGCGTCGGCACCAATGGCTATATCTCCTCCGTCCTCGCCTCTTCAACGAAGCACATGAACGCCATCAACGAGCGCCGCCAGCGCGCCGAGTCTCGCCGCCGCAAGCGCAGGTCGCAGCTCTTCGGGCCCTCCGCCGTGGGCGCTTCGTCGCAGCCGTACGGGACGCAGGACGAGTGGGAAGACTCTGGGCCCGCAACTGGCCCCGAGAGCGCACCGCTGCCGTCTCCGGCGACGCAGCCGCTGCCCAAGCTGGCGCTCCCCATTATCGGCTCGAGCCAGGCGCCGCCCGTGGTAGTGCCGTCATCGCAGACCTTCTCCTCGCAGATGCCGCAGGTCATGTCGCAGCCCGTGATGGGGCGACACGCGATGCGGTCACCAGGGAAGAAAAAGAAGAGAAAGTCCGGCTTTTGATCATCTCGAACTTTCCCTTTGATTTCAAGGATTGAGATGGGGCTTTTTTCTTTTCGGTTTTACAGGATTTTGTTTATTTTATTCCATTAGCGCTAGGCTATGGCGGAGATGCCATTACACCCCCCTTTATTAGACGAGCTTTTACCAAAACTTGATGCATATATTAACCACCGTCCTCGAGTCGCCATTTATGCTTTCTTCTTCGTCCTGATTCCGAGCCCTCTCCAAATGAAAAACACCACCTCACTGGCCTCCCCCGATGCCCCCGCCAACCTCGTTAATCCCCGTGCCCTTGATCTTGTGGTCGCTCGGGTTCGCCGCCGCCTCATAGAGGATGTTCGCGGGCGCGCGGCCGAGCTGCATCCACTCGCCCTTGAAGCCGAGGTACCCGACGCGCGTCTCGTCCTCGTCGCCGTCGCCAAAGTTGTCGACGATGAACAGAGTCAGGCGCTGGACGCGGCCGAAGAGGGCGCGCTTGACGGGGATCTCCTGGACCTGGGAGGTGCGTGAGAGCTCAAACTCCTGGGTGGCCTGGGCGTCCTCGGCGGAGGCGAAGTCGAGGTCGTCGCGGTTGGCGAAGAGCTTGAGGGTGCGCGGGGCGGCGGGGGAATCGGAGGTGCGGAGGAGGAGGGCGTGCAGCTTGACCTGGCCGGTGAAGCTGGGACGCATGTCAGTCCCAGTGTTTTCTGTTGTTATTGTTGTTGTTGTTGTATTTTGTCTTGTGGCTGGCTTGGAGTTGGAGAGAGAAGTCAAGGGTGGATTTTAGAGATTACGTGATTGAGATATGAGATAATGTGAAGTTCCATGACTTGAATTCGGGATAAGACCTCCATCAGGACCATAACGCACATGAGTTCCCGGGAGCGAACACAGTGACCGAGGATGCATTATATGAGACTGTAAGGAACCTGCACACTTACGGAACATGTATCATCAGCTGCTCGTCGGCATCGCTCACGACCTCGGGCTCCGGCTCGAGCCTCTCTGCCCACGTCTTCTTGACGATGGCGCGTGCACTGCCGATCTGCGACTCGTTCAGGGCTGTTACCTCGTCAAAGTTGATGCGGCCGTAGAGAGAGTGCTGCAGGGCGGGCGTGATGTCGTCCGAGTGGTCGTGCTCGTCATGGCCTTCGTGGGAGTGATCGTGG